TAGCCTATAGTCAAGGCTGGGTCAAAATGGAGGCCATCCTCCTGTCTCAGCCTCTTTTTTGTTTTTTGTTTTTCGAGACAGGGTTTCTCTAGCTTTGAAGGCTGTCTCAGCCTCTTTAGTATTGGGATTATGATTATACACCACTATGCATGGCAGCAAGTGTTTTTATTTTGGGGACAGGGTCTCACTGTGTAGCCTTTGTTGGCCTGGAACTTGCTATGTAGGTCAAGCTGGCTTCCAACTCAAGAGATTCCCATCTCTGCCTCCCAAGTGCTGGGATTAAAGGTATGTGCCCCAACACCCAATACAGCGTGTACTAAATTTTTAGTGTTTACTAAAATGTCTTTTCTTAGAATGAGTTCCTTGATGGGATGGGTTGGGGCTCTGGGACCCACCCTTTTCTCTACAGCTTCTAGTCTCTGAAGAAGTTATTTCTTCCTGTTTCTCCCCTCTACCTTGAGGGTTTTTTCTGGAGCTGCCCAGGTTGTGTCCTTGAGTGGGACTAAGCCCTTCCCTCCAGGCTGGCACTACTCAGAAAAACTCAGCTGTCTTCAAGGCTAGGGCATCCTGAGTATTGTGTCTGTTGTTCATGAGCGTGTTCCTCATCTTCAGCTAGTTAAGTTACTTCGAGTTGTCACACTCAAACGGCTCTCCTTGACAGGGCCCAGGCTACACAGAGGAACCCTCACGTCCTGCATCCTTGGCACATCTCCAACCTGTGGCTGGCATCAGGTTGATACTGGTGCCACTTTACTCTCTTGGCTGCTGGTGTGGGTGGGGGCATCTCAGGGCTAGAAACCAGGACCTTACATAAGGTCTCCCTTCGTGAGCTGAGGACCAGATAGGCTCTGGCTCCTCAGTTATGTGGAATTTTTAACCCCCAAAACAGGGTTTCTCTGTGGCTTTGGAGCCTGTCCCAGAACTCATTCTGTAGACCAGACTGGCCTCAAACTCAGAGATCTGTCTGCCTCTGCCTCCTGAGTGCTGGGAATAAAGACGTGTTCTACTACCGCCTGGCCAGTTGTGTGGATTTAATGGAGAAGTTTTCCATTTTTCTGCAGGTAGACAGCTGTTGAAACAATGTACAGCCAACCAGCAGCAGGTCCTGAGAGGCCTGGGGCTCCGGGTTCCTGGCACCTGGGAGGCAGTCATGGTTGATGCGAGCATTCTGCCTCAAGTGTGGCTCACTGAGGGCCAGAGGCTGCACCCCTCCTAATAACCATCACACTTCTTGGAACATGTCTACTGCTTCCTGGAGAGCTGTGAGCACCCAGGGCCACATCCAGGAGTGTGCAACTCAGCTTTGCAAAGTCACTTAACGCAATAGAGGCCAGCTCTGATTCCACAGCATTTTATTTCTAGCTATCCAGTGATGTGACCTCCCATTCAGTGTCTAGTGGGAGAGAGGGAGGCAGGCAGGCAGGCAGGCAGGCAAGGGTAGCTCCAGAAGAGGGACACACTTCCCTCGTGCTCTGGTCCCCGGGACCTTACACAGATGGCTCCTAGCCAGCCTCCTAAAATCACAACAGAGAACTAGAGCCTCCAAAACCTTCCACTGTCAAAGAAAGGAACCCGGGCTTGCGAAGAGAGTCTTCAGCCTCTCCCCTGGTGGAAGCAGGAGGACTCCACCAGTCTCCAGCCTGTGTTACCATGGTTCTAGAGCAGGGCCACAGCCACCAAGGGTGGCCTGTCCTACAACCACTGCACATGACTGTGCCTGGGTGAGGGGCCGTAGCACCTCCTCTCTCTGAAACTGGGTGGACAGGTGGGAAGGCAGGGTCACCTGGAGGCCCTCCCGCCATGTGGTTTCAGCTAACACAGCTTGACTCCAGGGCCCTGAGAGAACCCAGTGATTTGCCACTGCTGCTTGTACCTGGTTTCCTGGGCACCAGCCAGCAGAGAGATCAAGCTGCTATTTTTGAGAGAATTGGGGAGGGCTCCTGTCCCGATGTGGCATCTTGGAAGCCTCATGGGTGGTAGCCAGCTACTGAATTTTTCCTCACTTGGGAGCCAGGAACAGCTGACCTCTATAGTGGGAAATTACCAATACGGAGTCAATTATGTACCTCTGTAGCTAAGGGGGGAAGGTCTGGGCAGCGGCCACCCAGCCCAGAACCTACCATGGGCATGTGGACCTGGTAGTTCTTAGGGTGGGCTTTAAGAAGGCTTTCTGCTCAGTCTCTTGGCATTCAATTGCACAGAAAGGGATCTGCACACCAAGCCTTCAGCCCGTCAGGTTTTACCTCAATATGCTAGATGTGGCTGTTTGGAGGAACCCTGTGACCATCGCACGCACAGCAGAAAGCAAGTCACCGGTTCCAAGCACTGGCTCACACACTGCAGGGACGGGCCACCAGCAACTACAGGGTTGGGTCTGTCACTGGCTAAAGTGCCAGATTCCCAAGGGCACCCATGCCCCTCACTCTCAAATATGACCTGGCCTGTCCCTTGGCCTAACCCTGAAATTTAGAGCACGGCTGGGTCACCGTCTACCATTTCACATTCATCACTGCATACAAGCGGGTCTGAGACGCTTGTGGTGGTGGCAGAAATTTGTTTCTCATCTGAGAAATGCCCTCCATTGCTTTGCTCTCTGGCCATGGGCCCTGGAGGGCTGGGCACTCTCCCAGGTGCTAAGGCCACATTCCCCAGGAAAGGGCAGAGCTGGTGCTTACTGGCGCTCAAGGCTGGGGCAGCAGCCCTCCCTCCCTCTCACCAAGCTCCTGGGAGCTCACTTTAGGCTCCAGCTAAAGCAGGGGACCAAGAGTGCTGTGTCAGGGACATGAGGCCTGGGGACAAGGGGCTGAGTGAATGGTACCCTGATGCTTCACTCCTTAATTTATGAATTTCAGGTTTAAAACGGAATCTTGGTGAGCATTGAGCTTGGAAAGCAACCTCCATCTCAGAAATGGAGCATGAGTTCTGGGAAAGAGAACAATCCAGCCTGACCCCAGCCTTGCCCCCAATTGCACAAGGTCACGGGTGACTCCAGCTCCAGGGTTAAGGTGAGAGACAGGGAAGAGGACGAGACCGTATCTTGGCTGTGCAAGTGACCTAATGAATAGAAGCAAACTGCACGCTTCCCACTCTGCCACCTGCTGCAGCACAGTGAGGCGGGTCCTCAGAGGCCCGGCTGTCTTCCAACATCAGAGCCACAGCACTCGAGGTGGGAAACCCCTGTAACCAGCCCACTCAGGCCCAGTGTCCCCACTGTGAGCCAAGGCCATATACAACATTTAAGCCACCTGAGGTGCAGGAAAGGCTAGGGCTACATGGGTTGTTGCCAAAGGGTCCTGGGTGGGTAGACTGCAGCGTTATAAAAGGGCAGGTGAGGACATCAGGCCATAACCATTGCCTGTGGTGTGATCCAGCGCCTTAGCCTGAGACATGCATGGGAATATTTGTGTGACCCAAAGTCACCGGCATCCCAAGTGGCAAGTGGCTGGAGTGGGGAGCTTCTGTGCCCTGGCCATTGCCCCAGTGTCTTGGAGAGCTGGGGCCTGGGCACGGATGGCAGAGGACCCAAGTTCCAGGAACTGGTAAAAGAGGCTGGGCTCTGAAGAGCAGCTGGGTGGAAGGAGCTTCACACTATAGGATCTAGAAAGAGGCCTTTGGGCAGAGGACAAGAGTGAGGGAGAGGCAGTGGTGGAGAGCAGAGAGGATAGGGAGGTGGCTCCCACACTTGGGAAAGGTGCCTCCTAGGACTCTGTGCTTCCAGGGTCTGAGACCCCCCTTTGTCTCTTCAGAGAGTACTGCAAACTCAGGCTACCACCTTTCCTGGAAGCCTCAGGCTGACCCCCTGCCAGACACCAGTGTAAACATTTGCAGTGTGCCCACAAAGGGCTGCAGCTGCCTGCCCAAAGGCAGGCTGACAGTTGCCAGTTCCATGTCAAAAAAAAAAAGGTCCTTCAGCCTTTCTCTCTGAGAACACAGGTCAGGGACTGTGAGTCTTTCAAAGACTCTTAGCCTTGGCACCAGGTAGAGGCTGCTGCCACCGCCACCAAGGCACCTTGACAATGCAGGGACAAACGGCAGATTCGCCTGCTGGCAGCTGCTCCAGATATGAGGAAGGCATGGTCCAGTCATGGTGTGAGCTGAGCAGGCCCAAAAACAACACTGGGGCAGGTCACATTTCAGACGGCCTGAAGAAGCACGCTCTGAAGGCCTGAAGCTTCCTAGCTAACACTAGCCCTCCACCTACCATCTCGTGTTCTGAGGTGGCTGCATGAGGCATCTTCTTCAGGGCCCAGGGCACTGTGGGCTCAGAACAGCTCCTGCTCATCGTCCTCAGAGCCTGATGGGCCTTGGCGGACCTCTTCATACCACTTGTTGGTGAGGCTTTTCATCTGGATGCGTCCGTGGTGGAGGTCCTGGAGCAAGACACGTAAAAGAGTCAGTGACAGGGTCATCAGTGACAGGGTTAGAAGTAACAGGAGGGCCTGCTAAGAACTGAGGGGGGGTGGAGGGAGCTCCTTTCCCTGGATCTAGTCTCCCCAGCTGTCTAGTGAGATAACATGTTTTGCTGCTTAGCTGTTGGAGGACATAGTCTTGAGGGTGTGAGGGGCTGTTGTGGAGAAAGGAGAGGGAGAACAGCCAAAAGAGCCCTGCCCCTGGAGGGGGCAGCTACAGTGCTGATCTGAGACTTCTTAGCTCAGCATCAGAAGCTGATCCACATCCCTGAGGGCAGTAGGGAAATCCAAACTCTGTCAGCCATTTTCCAAGGTGTGTAGGGAAGGGAAGGCAGCAGGGGCAGAGCTGGGCTGCTCACCAGCCTCCAGAAGTGGCTTCCCTCCCCACTCCTGGCCACCGCAGGCCTGAAGGCAGGTAAGGGATTCGACATGCCCACCTCCTGTGTCAGCCGCCGTGTGAAGAAGGGGTTCAGGTACTTGGCATCTAGCCACATGAAGCCTTTGAGGTCCTGCTGTCTGATGTAGTGGGCCTCGTATTCCTCCTCGGTGAGCTCAGATAGATGTTCTGACTCGATGGCATTGCCCTGTTGACAGAGCTGGCAGTGTCAGCAGGCACTTCCCTGGGAGGCCCCACTCCGCCTTCCTGTCAGAATGCCAACCCCAACACACTCTACCTTACTTGAGGTGATAACAGTTCTAGACCTTTTTGGGCCCCCAAAGCCTACCCTCTGCAGGGAGGGCCAATGGCAAGATTGGAGCATAGGAGTCTCCCAAGTTGCAAAACCCTGCTGGCCTGGGACTGCAGTGTAGAGGAAAATGGAGGTCGTGCGTGGTCGGTGTCTGGGGTTTGAAAAGCCTGAAGATGCTACACTTCAGCCCCAGCTGTAATTTCTCCAACAACAGGGCAGTGGCGGAGCTACCAAATCTGCATACTTAACCAGTTCCTATACTAGCGACCGTCCTCTGAAGATGTCTCTGTGAGTGCAGGGTCTTGACCGAAACCTTTTTTGTGCCTCAGTGTTCTCCTCACCTGTAGGATGGCGACTATGACAGTCCCCGCTTCCTATGGACGCCAAGGTGCATTATGATTGTCCAAGAGTGGCTACAGCCTTGGCAGAAATGTCAATCTACACAGGGCTTCCATCTGTAACTCCCAGCCCTTGGGAAGTAGAGGCAACAAGATTGCAAGGCAGCTGGAGCTATAACAGTCAAGTCCAGCTTAGTCCACAGAGTGAGCCCGTCTCAACAAGCAAAAATGGTTCTGAATGCTTGCTGCTTTTCCAGAGGACTTGAGTTCGGTTCCCAATGCCCATGTTAGGTTCATAATTGTTGCTTGTTCCAGTTCTGGAGAATCTAATGCTATCTTCTTGCATTCATGGGTACACATGTGCACACACACACAGCACACATGCATGCAATACACACACACACACACACACACACACACACACACCATGCATATACCATGGCATGCACATACAGAGACACACATATACTTACAAAAGGTTAAAAATAAGGAAACAAAAACAAAGAGATCACAACACAACATCAAGCAAACTGGTCAGCTAGAAGCTGGGAAGAGAGGGCTCTGAGCATGGGAAGAACCTGCACAGCCTGAGGTTAGCTACCTGAAGGAAAGGCCCCGGACCAATGGCCCTGGCTCTCCCACTCTCAGATGGCACTTTGATGACTGACCCAAGTTGCTGACATCTCAAACAGGGAGACTAGAAGGCAATGCATCTCAGAATGAAGGAGGGGTGGGATAGAAAGGTGGATCAGAAGTCAGGGTTGTTGTAGAGAGGGGAGGAAGGACAAGGAGCCAGTGCAAGGTAGTCCCACCTGAGAGGTGCTTGGCAGCAGGAGATGGCGTACAGAAAGTAGAGGTGGGCAAGGGGGCACAGAAGCCTCAGTTTCCAATGTGGCTGGGCTCTGAACACCACTAATCCCTAAACCATGACCCCTCTGTCCTTGAGGATGCCACCCTGCTAACAGCCCTCATTGCTACCACAAGCTACCATCCTCTTGGCCCCTATCAAGAGGTGTAAATGCATACTGAAGAATACCTGATTTTGAAATCTCTTAGTTCCTGACCTGGCCTTCTGGCTCAGCTCCTGGCAGCAGGGGCACTCTCCCAGGACTCTGGCATAAGACCAGGCTCTACTTCAAATATCCTGAGCTACAGATGGCACCAGCAGGTCACAAGGCTGGTACACATCCTACCCCACAGAGCTATGCTTCAGAGCCAAGTCCCCACACCTGCTCTCAGGCCTACACTGCTGACCCTGAGATAAGCAAATGCATAGGCAAGCACCAGCCCCCTGAAGCCTGACCTGCTCTCCCTGGCAGACAGGCAGCAGGGCCCACAGCTGCACTAACCATCTTCTCAGTCTTGCTGAGGTTGACGTCCTTCTTGCTCCTGCGGCGGGCCCGGGCATCCTCAATGTCCACAAGGCGGATGAGGGGCATGGTACTGCCGCCCAGCAGCAAGATGGTAAAGAGCACAATGACAATGGTGGTGGTGCCGATGAGCTGCCGCTTCTCCATGGACTCCAGGCCCAGGTGCAAGCTCAGTGCATAGGGGATGGCCCCTCGGAGGCCTGGAATGGTAAATGGAGATTCAGGGCCAAGCAAGGAGGAAGGAGAGCGGTGTCACACGCCTTTAATCCCAACACTTGGGAGTTAAGAGTCAGGTGGAGAGGCCAGCGTATTCTACAGAGTGAGTTCCAGGACAGCCAGGACTGCTTCACAGAGAAATCTTGTCTTGAAAAACCAATAAATAAAAATAAAAAAGGAGGGAGAGGGGACACAAGAAGAAGAAGAGAAGAAAGTGGCTTGAGCTCAGCACCACTAACAGTAGGACCTGTCCTGACAGAATTGGCCTAGGATGTGACAGCAGGTAGCAGGGTAGGCAGGTGAAGTCCCTGCATGTTCTGTATGGCTGGTTCCATGCAAGGCGACCACAGCCAGGCTGCTGTGTAGCAGATATATTTGGAGACCCGTCAGATCTGTCATATGACAGCTATGGTAGCTAAGTCCTTCCTGGTGCTTCAGGCCCCCAACTAGGTGCTCTGTGCAGACAAGGCTGCCTGTCACAGAAACCTGCCCAGCACATGCTGCCACTCTCCACAGCACACAGGAAGGGGACCAACCTAGGGCATAAGTGTACTGCTCAAGGCCATGCAGCAGACACAGACAGCATTGAGGTATGATTTGTCTAGTGACTCTCCTGCTTGCTAGTGATGATGACAGGACTAAGGGTGTGGACAGATGGGAGACAGCTGTTCTGCCCATACACACAGAGCAGGGGATCCTGAGCCCTGCCTTTAGAAGCTCCCAGAGCAGCTAGGAGAGACAGTAAACACAATACTAAATTCAGAGAGTAACTGGGAACAGAGACCACAGTGGGGTGGCTCAGACATGGGCGGTGAGGGGACTCTGAGATGGCAGGGAGGCCAGAGTGGGAAGATTCAGAGACATGAGCAGGGTCACAGGATGAGGGGACCTGACATGTGTGACAGGCTCAGTGTGCACATGTGCCTAGGAGTGCCAGTGAAGGGAGCCATATCTATTAACCCACCATGCTGTTTCCCAATGGAAGGCAAGGCAAGCCAAGCAGTAGGTAGGCAATGGGCTCTGGCTCAAGAACTTGCTGTGGTTCATAACCCCCAGAAACAGAGGAAGGACTGGTTTGGAGAGCAGGATGGGCCTGCCAGGGGTGTGCATAGAGCTGGACAGATCCTTGCTTTGCTTCCAGGGGACCCTGGATGGTAGGCATGACCTTTGCCCCCCTGGAACCTGAGTGTCCAGATCCCAGGGACAGAAAAGGGCCAATCACTTTATGGTTGATGCTGTGATGAGGGTACCATCTGATAGTACCTGTTGGAGCCTGACTCCCCAGGGTCCCATGCACACAAGCCCAGGCTTAGGCCCACCCACCCTGGCTGCCACTCACCACTGAACCACATGATAAACATCATCTTGGGGGTGATTTTGTGATCTCGGAAGAAGTTCAGCAGGTAGGACAGAGGGAAGATGTTGACGGCTCTGCCGAACAGTACCAGCACCTGTTGATATCAACATACTCAGTACAGTGGAATCCACTGCGTCTTCAGGCTAACAGTCAAACAGACCTGTTGTCAGAGGCAGCCCTGCCCTCCACCAGAGAGACACCCCAACAGCACAGTACAGGGGGAGACTCACACATGTGCTGCTGCCCTGGCTCTGCCTGGGTGAAGCTTTTTGGCCTGGCCTTTTGTCTCAGATGCTAGAAGAGACTAGCAAGCATCTTCCTGGGCTTCAGTCACAGCTTCAGAACAAAGGCAGCCACACTCAGCTCCCAGTAGGGCCTAGAGACAACCAGGACTCCATAATGGGGTGGGCTTATGCTAATCTTCCCCCCTGAGGGACTGTGAGGGAGAGGGAGCCACAGACTCATCCTCTGCTCTTCGGTCTGGGAGGACAAAGGTGGCTCAAAGTCTGGGCCTGCTGTCGGGTGAAGCCTCCAAAAAGGCTTCCCACTTTAACCAACTACAGCTCCAAGGGGTGGGTGGAGGAGGGGTTAGGGAAGGGGCTGGGGAAAGAGCATCTGCACAAGGCCCTGGGTTAGAGCCCAGCAACTCAAAAACCAGGACAAATGTCAAACTTCCAAGGCTTCCCCGAGACCCGTGCTCACAGGACAGAACTGTGACATCGGCAGGCAGCCACTTTAAATGGAGGTCACATGGGGACGGGGAAAGGACTCCAAAGGACCTAAGAGAATTGGGATCTCTTGCAGGTGATCACATTTCTCCTTTTCTTTTTTGAGGCAGGATTCTGCTGTGCATGCCTAGGCTGTTCTTGAACTTGCCATGTAGTTAAAACTGCCCTTAAAACTTTTTACTGGGGGTCTGGAAAGATGGCCCAGTGGTTACCGTACTGGCTGCTCTTCCAAAGGACCTGGGTTCAATTCCCAGCATCCACATGGCAGCTCACAACTGTCTGTAACCCAGTTCCAAGGGATTTGACACTCTCACACAGGCATACATGCAGGTAAAACACCAATGCACATAAAATAAAAATAAACAAATCATTAAAAAAAACTTTATTGTCTTTTTTTGAGGCAGGGTCTCACTGGCTTGGAACTTGCTACATAGACTAGGGTGGCCTTAAAACTCACAGAGATCCAACTGCCTCTTCCTCTCAAGTGTTGGGATTAAAGGAGTGTGCCATCACACCCAACTGGCTTAAACTCTTGATCCTCCTGCCTCCATCCCCTAAGTGCTAGGGTTATAGGCACCTACTGCCATGCTTTGGCTAAAACTGTTTAAAGGTGACCGAACCATTTAAGAACATCAAAAATGTAAAATGTCCAGATCTTTATGCCTGGGATCTTTTAAACAAAAGAAATTTTCAACAGAAGCATGTCTCTGTAGCTGTTGACCCTGAACTGGTAATAGTTACATAAATGGTTCCAGACCATGTAGTTGCTATTCTAAAAATAAGCATTCAATAAAAAAACAAGAAAAATACTTACTATGCACCAGATGACAAAGGAAATTTCAAACTTGTGAGGGAAACTAAAAATGGACAGGCCAAGAAATGCGAACACACATGTTTCTGAAAGAAACCAAAGAATGAATTATTCATCCCAGTTCCTTTCTTACAAATGCAGTAGAAACTTAAGCAAGCATCCTCGAAGCCACACCAACAGCCATCTTATTTTCTGGAAAAGTCTTGCAATGGATACTATGCAGTCCCAGAACTAAATGCTAACTAGAGCTGGTCCGGGACACAGAACAGAAGCTGTTCTCTGCTCTACCCTGTGAGGGCCAGGTCAGAGCCTTTGGCCAAGGCTTTTCTGATAAGAGCTGTGGTTCAAACAGCCACTGGAGCACTAGAGGCCTGTCTTCTAGCATCCTCCTTGGCAATGGGCTATCTGGCCTCCTCTTACCCAGTCCCTCCCTACCTTGCACAGATAGCCCTGCCAGCCAGGCTCCAAATGCTAAAATTGCAGCTAATGCCTAGACCCAGGATAACAGTGGTGTGTGTGTGTGTGTGTGTGTGTGTGTGTGTGTGTGTGTGTGTGTAGTTTAGAGGGATGGCTAAAGGTAGCACTTCTACTCCAGATGCTAAAATTGCAGCTAATGCCTAGACCCAGGATAACAGTGGTGTGTGTGTGTGTGTGTGTGTGTGTGTGTGTGTGTGTGTGTGTGTAGTTTAGAGGGATGGCTAAAGGTAGCACTTCTACTCCAGATGCTAAAATTGCAGCTAATGCCTAGACCCAGGATAACGGGGGTGGGGTGGGGTGGGGGGTGGTGTGTGTGTGTGTGTGTGTGTGTGTGTGTAGTTTAGAGGGATGGCTAAAGGTAGCACTTTTACTCCAGATATGAACAACAGTGGGTACATGGTAAATGGAAAGGGAGGAAACTGGCACTGCTGAACAGAAACACCTCACATTCATTGCAGGGGAACATGGCTCTAGAGTCCCCCAGGGCTAGGATAGCCTCACTTAGACACTCACAGTGTCCCTAGATAAAAGCTGTTAAAACTTGAGCCTGATATCCCACAGGGATGGGGTCATCTAACCATCTTCAGCATCATTTCCAAGGAACATCTGTGGAGATTTCCACATTAACATCTGGAATGTTCAGCAGTAGTTCTATCTTTGGCCAAAAACTGCAGGCACCAAGCGTCCACTTCTTAAGTACTGCACATCTTTTATGGAATCCTAAAACCACAGAAGCCAGCTCAGGAGGTAGGAATATGGTGCTTGCTTGGGCTTGGAAGGATTCTGAGCCATGATGCCAAGGAAAAACTCTAGCCTACACCCCATTAGGGCAGGAATCCCAGTGTGTGTGGGCACTCAAAGGTGGGACTCACCACACAGGAAGGCCACAGTCCGGAGGGTCTGCTGCATGAGGATCTGGGTGACTGGAGAGAGGTTATGGTGTGTATAGTGTGACATCACAATACCAGAAAACAGGATAGCCATGATGCCTGAAGAGAGAGGGCAGATGTGACAGAAAGCACAGGGACACGTATGCAATCAGACCATACTTCCTAAATTCCAGAACCCCAAATATTAACAGTTGCAGACAATGGAAGGGGCTGGAGAGAGGACTCAAAGGTAAAGAGCAGTGGCGGCTCTTCCAGAGGGCCCACAATTTTTGTTCCTGTTGCCCACAAGGCTGCTCACAGCTGTGTGTAACCCCAGTTCCAGAGGACCCTACACCCTCTTCTGGCTTCCATGAGCACCAGGCGTGCAAGCAGTACAAAGACATATACTCGGGCATAACACCTAGGCACACGAAAAGGAGAGAAAAGAATACAGAGACTGGGTGGCAGCCTCAGTTGGTAGACTGTTTGCCTAGGAAGCAAGGAGACCTGGGTTCCATCCCCAGGAGCACATAAACTAAATGTGGTGGCACATACCAGCAATCCCACCAACCGGGAAGCAGATAGCAGATCAGAAGTTCAAAGGCATCAATGGCTAAATAGCAAGTTTGAGGACAGCCCGAGCTACATGGAACTCTGCCTCAAAATGAGAAAGAGCGAGGAAGAAGGCGTGGGGAGATTTGAGGGCAGGGGAGAGAAGAGGAAGTGCAGATATACAACACTGAGGCCTTTCATAAGCTACAGAGAAATGGCCAGGGCCCCTCCTATCTCTGCCAGCTGGTGGCAGTAGCCAAGTGGCTCCCCATCTCCAGGCTGGGCTGTAGCTCCCCCATTGGTGCAGTCCCTGCTCCCGCGGGTCAGGGGTGAGTGAAAGATGAACGGTGTGAACTGAACATCACAGTTGTGGATATTCCTTTACACTGTGTGAAGATATGTCACTGTAACTGATTTAGTAAAAAGCTAAACAGCCAATAGCTAGGCAGGATTTTGGGGTTAGAGAAGATGCTGGGAAGAAGACAGAGTTGCCAGTCAGACATGGAGGAAGCAGGAAAGCAAGATGGACAATGCGTAGGTGATGTGAGGTAAATGAGCCTCAGGCAGCATACAGACTAACAGAAATGGGTTAATTTAAGTTATAAGAGCAGTTAGAAACAAGCCTAACCTATCAGGTGAGCTTTTTTTTTTTTTTTTTTTTTGGTTTTTCGAGACAGAGTTTTCTCTGTGTAGCTTTGGAGCCTATCCTGGCACTCACTCTGGAGACCAGGCTGGCCTTGAACTCACAGAGATCCACCTGCCTCTGCTCTCGAGTGCTGGGATTAAAGGCGTGCGCCACCAACGCCTGGCTGAACTTTTATAGGTGGGACAGAGAAGACTCATAACACACAGGACCAGGCTCTAAGTTGTCACTGTATACTGGCCCTTAGCTTAAGGGCTGAGGTGAGAAGCTGTCGCTGTCATCCACAGGTAAAGAGTCTAGGAACCTGGATGTAAAGTGTGGGGTGGTCTCATGGACCTTTAAGACACTCTCTTGTTTGGTTGTGGGCTAGAGAGATGGCTCAGTGGTTAAGAACACTGGCTGTTCTTTCAGAAGACCAGGGTTCAATTCTCAGCACCCACATGGCAGCTCCCGACTGTCTGTAACTCCAGTTTCAGGGGATCTGGGGCCCTCACATAGGTGTATATGCAGGCAACACACCAATGCACATAAATAAGAATAAATAAATCATAAAAAAGATACTTTCTTGTGATTTCTCTATAGTCACCAAATACTACTGTTCCTTCCAGGGCACAGTTGTTTGTGCTCCCTCATCAGCGCCTGGCAGTCACTCTCCACACCACTTGGAGGCTCCACACAAGTTCTTTTTACCAGAGCCCCATCTCAACAGAAGGAAGCTGAGGTTTTTTAAAAAGCCACTGAACAAGATACTAACATACAGAAACTGCAAGTCAAATTTTATAAGCCAAATTTTAAATCACTTTCACAATTTTGGAGAAACAGTTAAACTGGCTAATTGCACTTGTACAAGGAAAGATCACATAGCTGTGCCACACAGTAGGCTCTGCAGTGTGCATGACAGAAGGATTGGAATGCTGTATCTCCAACTTTGCAGTAAGTAGCCCTTTCCTTCATGCTCCCATTTTGTCATTTTGCTTGCAAAGGGGTAAGGAGACACTTCAGAGCAGATGTACGGGGAGGGCGGGGCCAGCTCACTTGCTTCTTGAGTACAAAGTGGGCTTCCCCGAGCTGCCCAGCTTCCCCTAGTTCCTTCACGTCCCCACAGGTGTTCTTCAGGACAGCTGGTCTCCCTCATCCTGCAGTTCCACCACAGCCATCAAAGGTGATGCTAGAAGGCTGGCTCAATGGTTAAGAGTACTTGCTGCTTTTGAAAGGACTTGGGTTTGAGTCCCAGCGTCCACATGGTAGCTAATAATCACCCACAACTCCCAGGCACTTACGTGGTAGACAATCATACACAAAAAATATAAAATCTATCCAGGCATGGTGGCAAGCACCCTTAATCCCAGCACCTGGGAGACAGAGGCAGGCATTTCAGGAGAGTCAGAGCTACATAATAGAAAGACCCTGTTATCTAAAAACAAAACAAACAAGCAAAAAAAAAAATTCTAAAAATAAATAAAAATTTACAAAAAGTGATAGCAGACAGGGGTACAGCTCTGAAAAGTCGTGTTCAACACTTGTGAGGCCCTGGGGCTGATGCCCAGCATTGCAGCAGCAAACAGCACCACAAAGCACCTTCAGACCAGGGGGAGTGGTCTCAAGTTCTCTGGTCCTCCTAAGCCCAGTGCTCACAGGGCTGCCTTAGACAAGGGCCATCAACATGCTTTTCACCAAGATACAATGCCATCATCAGCTGAACCACCACTCCAGCCATCCTACAAAGAGACAGGCTGTTGTGACTGGTAGGAGGGACTGTAAATACCTGCTCCAGAGAGCAAAGGCTCAAGGTGACAGCCCATGTGGAAACTCACGGGTCTGTCCCAGGGCAGTGCTGCTCAGCTCCAGCAGGGGGCAGTCTAGGCAAAGGGGTGCAGGTGGCCATGGTGCATTGGACCAGGGGGTAAGAATACCAAGAATACTTGGTATGGGACAGTGCAGGGCAGTGACCACCAGGATGAACGTACAGCTTTTTATTAGACTGCTGTAGCCATGCTAAGAAGGTCCACCTTCACTTCCGAGATGACAGACTCTCTTCTTTCTCTCTTTAAGTTTTTCAACACAGGGTTTCTCTGTTTAGTCCTTGCTGTCCTGGAACTCACTTTGTAGATCAGGTTGGTCTCAAACTCAGAGATACATCTGCCTTTGCCTCTCAAGTACTGGGATTAAAGGAGTGAGCAACTTATAAACTTTTTGTTGTTGTTTTTTGAGACAGGGTTTCTCTGTGTAGCTTTGGAGCCTATCCTGGCACTCGCTCTGGAGACCAGGCTGGCCTAGAACTCACAGAGAACCGCCCGCCTCTGCCTCCAGAGTGCAGGGATTAATGGCGTGAGTCACCAACGCCTGGTAATTTCTAAACTTCTAATGAGAGTGACTGACATAAATGTTGACCATTAGTCTGTGAGGACAAACACATGGATGCTGGGTTTGACCAACAGCTTTCACTGTGCACTTGACTCCTTGTGCTGGAAATGGCTGGGAAGCTCGTTACCCTGGGCTAAGGGAGAATATGGGCACCTGGCCAGTTCTGGGGCTACTGGAGAGTCCAGATGGGCACTCCAAGGAACAGCTCAGGCATCCCACAAGGCCTCTCCATACACAGGCCACCAACTGACACTTAGATGACTTCGCCTACTGGAATCATCACCTGTACAGGCCCAAAGAATCAGAGGTCAGGGATAGTGCCACTGAGGCTCACTTTTGGAAAAATACATGAATTAGCTACATAAAAAAATACTTAAAATTTTAAGATATGTTGGAAAAACACAAGGAACTGCTTTTCTGTTTTTTTGTTTGTTTGGGTTTTTTTTTGAGATGTTTCTCTGTGTAGCCCTGGCTGTCATGGAGCTTGCTCTGTAGACCAGGCTGCCTGCCTCTGCTGTGACTAAAGGCGTGTACTGCCACCACCTGGCAGAACTGGTCACTTTCAAACACTCAGCAGTTCTTTACAAAATAAAACTGGTATGTATCACATGACTTAGCAATGTCAGTCCTAAGTATACTGAAAACATTGGGGAATGTTCACAGTGGAAAAGCCTGATGACCCCTCGAATGAGAGTGGAGTGTGGGAGTGCTGCCTGCCACCACTATCATAGACAGAATCAGGTACCAATGACCACATTTCACACAATTTCATCTAGTGACATCTGGGAAAGAACTATTAACAATGAAGATCATGGTGACTGCAGAAGACATAGGGATCTCACCAGGGCCTTGTGACCACACACATCTGTCAAAACTCAACAGAGCCCCACACATGGATGGCTGTTCATTGTAGGGTGTCAATCCTACTGCAATTTAAAGGAGAAGCCTTCCCATAGCAGAGCTCAGCCTGGCCTGTATGGTGCTTCTCTTCCTCAACAGGTCTCTGTATACAGCCCTTACCTAAGTAAGGGTGGAGTCCTGGTGTCAAGAAGAGCCCTCCCCATTCAGCTGTACCTGCACCTGGGAACAAGGCATGGAACTTGCTCTAGACCTGTAAGGCTGGTGATCTTACAACTTGACAAATAGTGGGCACAGGATCCACACCACTTGGGTGATGGGGGATGTCCTTCTGGATGCTGTGAATATGTTTCTTATTGGTTGAAGAATAAAGCTGTTTCAGCCAATGGACAGGTAGGATTCAACCGGGTGGGAAATCCAAACAGGGATAGAGAAAAGATAGTAGGTGGAGTTAAGAAGACAGCATGTAGCTGTCGAGGAAGAAAGAGACCTGGACATCACCAGTAAGCCAAGACCACATGGAGGTACACAGATTAATAGAAATGGGTTAATAATTAAGACAGAGCTAGCTAATAAGAAGCTTGAGCCATCAGTCAAACAGTTTATAATATAAGCTTCTGTGTGTTTATTTGGGACTAAATAGCTGTGGGACCAGGCGGTATAGAAACTTCCTCCTAAACTTGGGACAGGTAGCTGACAGATAGCATGGAAGGCTGTAGGAACCAGTGCTCAGTGCACAGCCCCTCCTCCTACAGCTGGGAAGTATGTACCTTCTTCCCTGGGGTGCAGAGAGACAGTGTTTGAATCTCACAACCTCCTAACCTTGAGTGAGGAGTCAACTGAGTGCCCACTCCAGGGGATGGTGAGGTTAAAACCTGAGTACCAGCCAGTGGGGCGCACACATCTGTCAACTCAGCTACTAAGGAGGCTGAGGCAGGAAGATTTTGAGTTCAAAGCTAGCTTGGGCTAAATTCCCACTTCAAAAATCAAAACAAGTAATACATTTTACTGTGCCTGGGAAACCCACTATATTGTGGGGCAGCCATTTTGTTGCAGTGTGTGGTTTCACGAGAAGCTCGTTCTTGCTGGAGGGAGTTGGTTAGGCCAGTTCTGAGCCTCAGTTCAGGAGTCAAGACTTTCGTTTTGCTATGATGCTGTGTACACTGTATATGCATGCTCCATATGAGCGTCTGCATGCATGTTTGCATGTATGTGCATGTGGAGGTTGGAGTTGGACCTCAAGTGTCTTCCTCTACTGATTTCATCTTTAAGACGGTGCTTCTCATTGAACCTGGAGCTCATCAGTTCTGCTAGGCTGGCTGGCGGGCAAACTCTAAGAACCCTCATGTCCCGCACACGAGTGCTGGGGTTATAGATGCATGCATGGGTCCAAATTCACACCCTCACAGTGAGCACCTTACCAACTGAGCTATCTCTCCAGTCCCTGCCTTTTTTTTTTTTTTTTTTTTTTTTTAGATTTATTTATTATATTGCCTGAAAGTGTGTCTGCAGGCCAGAAGAGGGCACCAGATCTCATTATATTTGGGTGTGAGCCACCATGTGGTTTCTGGGAATTGAACTCAGGACCTCTGGAAGAACAATCAGTGCTCTTAACCTCTGAGCCATCTCTCCAGCCCCAACCCTGCCTTTTAAAAAAGATTACATTTACCTAGCTACTTTGTCTGTCCTTTGTCTATGTGTATGTGAGTATGCGCACTTGTGGAGGGCAGAGGACAAATACTCGAGTTAATTCCTAACCTTCCACTATGGAAATTCTGGGGACTAAATTAAGGTCATCAGTTTTGATGGATTGCCTTCACTTGTTGAACCATCTCATGAGCTTGATTTTGTTTCCGAGGCAGAATCTCATGGAGCCCAGGCTAACCTTGAACATGCTATGTGGTAGACGATGACCTTGAACTCCTGACCCTTCTGCTTGCATCCCCCCATCCCCACCCCTCCAAGCATACTGCTATTCTTCAGCTTCAGGTTTCCTTGTGGTAAAACGGGGGCCATCACAGTGCCTTTGTCTCTGCCAAGAGAAAGCAACTCAACTGACAAAACCTCTATTATCAGGCAAAACACTGAGCCACGTCACCATGTGCTGCTGGTGGTTACTTACTGTCTCTAACAGCGCACTGGTTACTGTCCCTTACCTGAGAGTGAGATTCCCTCTGCCAGTCCATATGGCAGGTAAGCAAAAATGATCATCATGCCAAACTCCAGGGAAGGCGTTTTCCTCAGGTCAATGTGCTTCAGCACGTGGCACAGGTGTTAAGGAAGGAGGGTAAGGGCACTGGATGGATGTGTGGCAAGACAAGACACGTTAAACAGACTGCAGCAGTACAGAAGATGCTGATCCTGGCACAATTCCAGGGGGAATTTCTCATTGCCGAAGTTTTTCTTTGTAGAAATGAGAATCTGACATGACGTCAGAAACACTGACTTAGCTGGGCTGCAGACACAGTTCACTCAACTGCATGTTCTCCAGGGACTCCTTGCCCTGCTGACAGGCCTGCCTTTCCTGTCCCTGCAGAATACCACACTCATGCCCTGGGAACAGAGGTGCATGTTCCCAGGCCCCGACTGAAGCTGAGTTCCCATGGACTTGCCTCATTACAGATGTGCTCCTTGAACGAGGCCACCATGTTCACCACCTCTTTCCTTGTTTTCTTCCCGGCCCCCCACCTCCTCCTTTTGCCTCTTTCAGATGGTATCTTGCTATGTAGCCCTGCTGGCCTCAAACTTGTGGCAACTCTTCTGCCTCAGTTTCCCGAATGCGGGATTACAGGCATGCATCACTACCTCTGGCATGCTTTTTTTTTTTTTTTTTTTTTGATTTTTTACATTTTATGTATGAGTGTTTTGCCTGTATATCTGTGTACCATGTATGTACAGTGCCAAAAGAGGTCGAAAGAGGGCGTCTGATCCCCTGGAACTGGAGTTTCAGGTAGTTGAGAGCTGTCGTGTGGGTGCTGGGAACTGAACGTGGATACTCTGTAGGAGCAGTAAGTGCTCTTTACTGCTAAGCTCTAAGTCTGGAGGATAGTGTCATCCTCACTCTGCTTCCTGAGAGCTGTCAACCAACTCAATCAGCCTCTGGACGGAGGAGCAGACCAGAGCATCTCCAGAATGGCGGAAAACATGCTCAGAACCAGCAAGGGAGCTCCAGTTAGCTAAGAGACAAATGGCTCCAGGAGGGCCATGTGGCCATTCTGGGGACATGGGCCAGCCAGCTGCAGAACTACTCTGGAGCCTTCCTATTTCTATATGATAAATTGTCACCAGCAGTAAAGGTCTCATTGCTGTAGAACCTCGTTCTCTGACTGACAGGCCTCAGCTGGTAAGCAGTTTACAGTGCAAACCACGTGGGTGGCACTTCCTGAAAGCCCTTGCCACCCTTCCAGATAAACTCTCACCCAGGAATGGACTGCCAGCACTCCATACGTGTGGGCTAGACAGATGGCTCTGTGGTTAAGAGCTGCCCCACTGACTTCAGTCCCAAGCACCCACAACTGCGTTCTCTCTCTCTCTCTCTCCCCTCTTTTTTTTTTTTTTTTTTGGAGACAGGGTCTTTCTACATAGCTCTGGTTGTCCTGGGACTTGCTCTGTAGATCAGGTTGGCCTCGAACTCAGAGATCCTCCTGCCTCTGCCTCCCAAGTACTGGGATTAAAGGCGTGCACCACCTGGCTACAAATCAATCTTAACAAAACAAAACAAAAACCAAACAAAACCTACACAAAACCTACAGTGTCTAAGAAAACTGCCAGTTTTCTGGGTGTGAGAAGCAAGGCAGTGATGGAATGACATCATCTGTTTGTGGTTTTCACCCGAAGCAGCAACAGCAGGATGTCAGATCAAATCTGCTACCCAACAGCATGGCTTTGAAAATGGCATCCCTGCCAGGAGTGGTGGCGCACGCCTTTAATCCCAGCCTTAGGGAAACAGAGGCAGGTGGATCTCTGTGAGTTCAAGGCCAACCTGGTCACGCATACTTACTGAATTCCAGGACAGCTAGGGCTATGTAGAGACCCTGTCTCAGAGAGGGTGAGAGATGGGGAGGGGGAGAGATGGGGAGGGGGAGAGAGAGGGGGAGAAGGAGAGGGAGAGAGGGAGAGAGGGAGAGAGAGACAGAGAGAGAGAGAATCAAACAAAACTATGAAACTGGCATTCTTGAGTGTTGGCAGGTGGACCTGTCATTTCAGCAGGACGCAAAGCTCAAGGCCATCTGAGGGGACCCTGTTGTCTAGAAGAGAAAGTAAGTGTCCTCTGACACTTCAGAGTTGAATTTAATAGTCCTTGAGTTTAGAGCATTTCTCAAACCACAGCTTAGCCCAAAACTTTCCTTTAATCAAAACTTGAGTTTAAAACTGGGCCCTTGAGGAAGGAGAAAATAGTGAAAGTGGATGTCTGTGCCTCATGCTCCCATGTTAAAGGATATCAATGCGGAAATCAAGCCAGTCAGCGTGCCAAGTGCCGCAGAGCCGAAGAACATTTTGAGGAAGTAGCCGAGGGCCTGTGAGAACGTTTGCCACCCACTGACATCTGACATATGCTTTCTTGTTAGACCTTCAGCCGTACTGGGAAAGGAGAAAACAGAGAAAGTTAAAGTGCTGTAGACTGAGTCCTTAAAATCAGCTCTGAGCATAACTCACTGCTGCATCCAGAATCCCTCCTTCATGCCATTTGGTCCAGCACCCCAGGCTTCTGTGGCTCAGAGGTGAGGGCAAAGGCAATGTCCTCAGGAGCTGCCCTGGGTAATGAGGGGGAAGGGCCAAGGGCTGTGAAGACAGGGTGGGCATCTAACTCAGACTGGGGTAGAGCTATCTGAGGAAGGTTCTCAAGGCAACACAGGCTGGGGCTTCCATTTAGGAGAAAGGGTTCTCAGACTGAGGAAACGGTGCCCAGGGGTGGGGAGCTTGAGTGGGTTTCAAGTGCATGGAGGATATGGGTTGGGGAGGATGTGGGAGAGCAGCAGCCAGTGCCGAGCTCATGGATGACAGGTGGGCCAGCAGTTCACCCTGCAGGTCTCACCTGTCAAGAATTCTGAGTACAGGAATTCTACCATAACATCCCAGACAGGGCTTTGGGTTGAGAGGAGGACATAGGGAGCCCTGAAATGAAATGGAAGGTCCTTCCTTTCACTGTGCCTGCAAAGCAGGTACGGGACGCCAGTCAAAAACTGCTTTGTCCCCAAAGGGAGGAGTATCATTAATAGAGAGCTGCTCTTGATAACATCACACTCTCTGTCCTGGATCCATCTACTCTCAGGCCTCTCTAAGGTGCAGCAGCAGCTGAAGTGATCCCCTTAACACACACTTGCCAAGGGACAGCTGCTCCAAAGCTTCAGCATGGCCTCTCTGCCCAGCCTCTTTCCCCTCTGTGGTGGCCTACGTGGACACTGGCATTTCTCTGCATGCCATTCTTTACCGTCCCTGGCTCTGCTAACTCTCCTGTCCTTTAGGACAGTACCCTACTTCCCTCAGACACCTTTCCTGAGCTGGTCACACAGGCCAACCTATTTCTTGGTCCCTGTGAGCCAGGTCCTCTTTCAGAGTGTGTGGCAAGCACAGTGGCATTCTCTCCATCCTGTTCTCTGAGTGTCCCAGGCCAAATCACAGCCCAGCCTATCAGAGACACTCATACATATCTGTGGAATCAGTCTACAGAACTAAGAACCATTCAGCTCCACTAACTGGTATTCCATCTGAAAGGAGAAGGATCTGTGATGAAGAGACAACTTGGCCAGATGACCTCAGATCCCTGGTGACATAATGAAACAGTTCTGAGAGGTCTCACAAAAAAAAAAACAAAACAAAAACAAAAAACTGCCCTCAGAGGCCAGCAAGGTGGCCCAGAAGACAGAGTTGCCTACAGCAAAACCTGAAGGTCAACTGCCGAAGGATGTGTTCTGAGCTCCAAATTAGGACTGCGTGCATATATATGCACACATACACACAAAATAAATAGAAGTATTAACTAAAGGGTTCTCTTCACACAAGTTTCCTGGGCTCCTGACTGTGCCATCTCCTTCATTTTTTCTTTCCCAGCAGATCAACTGGAGAATGTGGGAGCAACAAGGGATCTCATTGGAAGCTGATTTGGCTGACCAAATCCCCAGCGGACTACATCCACACAATGTGTGTAAGAACGCAATGGGAGAGCCCAGCTGCTGCTCAGGACAAACCAGCAGTGGCTTCTCCCTTCGCTCACAGACACCTACAGACACCCTGCCCAGACACTGGGAGTCCCTAGCTAACAGACTTCCCTGAGCCAGGGCCTGTAACCTAGAAAGTGAGCTGACATCAAAGGGGTATTGGTGGCCACACACAGTGCTCCCATTTCCTCCTCTGCCTCCTGCCTGGGAAGCAGAAAGCCTCCCCCCATCCTCAGAACAGTGTAAAAATAAACTCCCACTCCAGCCCATGGATTGACTCCTCCAGACCCTGCTAATGGCATCTCTGATGCTAGAGCCTGTAATGTCCTTGGAACCCCCATCATGGACTTGCCTCTCTGTTCATGGTGTTAACAGCTTTCTCAATAAACTACTTATCCTCCTAGTGATCCATCTCAGCGTACCTCATGAACACACACCATTTCAAATCTCACTGTGCAGTCAGCGCTCTTTATTTCTGGTTGGAACACACTGATCCTGCTGCCTGTTTACTAGAACAGGGAGTGGAGTTCCACAGAATAACTGGTTGTCATAGCCGAGGACCAGCAGGTGGCTTGGGACTGCCAAAGAAATTAAAGCAGACTTACACCCTCGAGGCATAAGACAGGGTTTCCTTCTCAGCAACTGACAAAAGAACAAACTGTGATAGCAGCAAATTACAGCCAGAAACAAGCAACGGGGAGGTTGAGGCAGAAAGAGCAGGAGTTGAAGCCTGGGCTACAGGAGACTCGGTCTCAAAAACAAACAACAACAAAATCACCAAACCACTAAGTAAATAAAAAAAACCTAAAAATAACCCAGGAGTTAAAGAAGAACCAGAGGGCTTTGCTTTCTGGCAACATCCAAAAGGAGGCCCTTCATTTGCATACTTCGTTTGCATATGTCCTTTGCATAGGTGAGGTGTCTGACCACTCTGGAAAAAACTGTTGACAGGCATCCCCTCAGAAACCAGGACAGACAGCTAATGCATGCACATACACAGCTTATAATGACCAGTTCTCTGGAGGAATAGAACTTAATGGAATTATCTACCTACATACGTATCTATAGCTGTCTATCTCTATTTACCTGCCTACTTATGGTTCAGGGACAGGCTTTCTATCCGCCACCCCCACCCCCCCACTTCCTGCTTCTCTGTGAAGACACTCACTGGCCTGGAGCATGAGACAGCCTTTCAGGAACCCTCCATGGCGCTCCTGCCCCTCTCTTGCAGTCCACTTCCCTTTGGCCCGCCATGGACCAAGAGAGTCAGACACAACTGGAATCTACACAGCATAGGCAGGAGGTGGACGGGCCTTACTTAGAGCGTTTGTAGTCCAGAGAACTTGACTGTAGTGGAGGGGGCCATGGCTATGGATAAGGTTGCCCATTCTAGACATACATAATCCAGAGCCACCTGCAGGAAGCATTGTGGGTGGCCTTCAAAGCCACTCTTCCAGTAAGAGGTGTGATGATATCTTTTCCTATTTGTTTCAAAATATCTCTTCAACTTGGCAGTAGTGTGGCAGAGGCCTGAGACAACTGACATTTTCCTACTGACATATTTTTTTCCCCCAAGGAAATCAGAGGCAAAGCAATTTAATTCTGTTTCTAACCATAAAATAGCTCATGTCATCACCTCCAGGCAGGCAATTCTTTATCACAATGCTTAGTGTGCACCAGGAGATGAGATGCAGGCAAAATCCAGAGCTAAGAGCTTTCCAAAAAGAATGTGTTTGGACACAGGGAACCATGTAGCCCAGGCTGGCCTCCAAACGTAGTGGAGGGTGATCTTTAACTTTTGATCCTCCTGCCTCTATTCCCCAAGTGCTGGGATTACAGGTGTGTGCTGCCATGCAGTTGTATTTGGATTACAAGTATGTCCTGTCATACACAGTTGTATGTGGATTACAGATGTGTGCTGTCATACACAGTTGTATGTGGATTACAGGTGTGTGCTGCCATGCACAGTTGTATGTGGACTACAGGTGTGTGCTGCCATGCACAGTTGTATCTGGATTGAACCCATGGCTGTGTACATGTTGGGCAAGCACCATACCAACTAAGTTAAACTTTTAGGAAATAGCTTACAGAAGAAAACCAGCTGCCGTCTATGTTCTAAAGGCCTTATGCATGATGCTCAATGATTTCCTAACTAAAGCTGCAGGCATTTCTACCAAGAGGGTGAGAGAGAGCCAGGGAGAGGGCAGTGGTGAACATGTCAGTAAAGTGATACCCAGTAAATGGTGTTACCTTAGACAATTTTTTTTTATTATTATTTTGTTTTTTTGAGACAGGGTTTCTTGTGTAGCCCTCACTGTCCTGGAACTCGCTCTGTAACCCAGGCTGGCCTTGAACTCAGTGAACCCTTGACCTCTTGCCTCCACTTTAAGGATTACAGGTGTGTGCCAACAGTTTCTATCTTTTATATGAATAATATGTATTAGCCTTAGATTAAGAATCATTCTGAAATTTGACTTCGTTTTAAGATCTTGGCAAGCTCTGCCTCAGCAGTGGGTAAAGAGGTGACCTCATAAGCACAGGGGAGGGCTAGAGGTGGAAGACTGCCTCAAAAATGGCGCCGTATTTAGCCACCTAGTCGGTCCTTCAGTTCAACCTGAGGTGGAGGCCTTATTACCTTCACATTATAACTGGGGGACATAATCTGTTGGGGAGGTCAGAGAGAGGCAGGAGCAGGTCCAGAGTCACATGGCTGGGTAGGGTCAACAGGAAACCTGTGCTCTGCACTGCAGCATGAGTTTTATTACCCTCGGATCCTGTCCATCAAAGGCAGCCACCCCAGTGAACATAAAGACTCACAGTTTTAAGCCTCATGTGGTGGAGTAGGACTTTTACCTCAGCACTAAGGAGGTGTAGGCAGGAAGAACAGGAGTTCACAGTCTACCATGGTTACACAGTGAATCTGAGGCCTGCTTGGGTGAGACTTTATCTCACAGCTGGGGGTAATTGGAGAGATGGCTCAGCAGTTAAAAGTTCTTACTGCTCTTCCAGAGGACCCTGGTTTGATTCTCAATATCTGTACTGCAGCTCACCATCTTCTGTAACTCAAGTTCTTCTGCCCTCCATAAACTGTCTGTCTCTTTGGAGCTAGACATGTCACTGTGGCCTCTAACAGGGTGAGCAAGCCCTCAACACTGGCCATACTGAATTCACTACTGCAGCAATGCGACCCAAACACTAACAATCCCTCACTTGGCTGACACTGGTCATCAAGGAAGCATACCACAGACGCCACTGCACAAGACGCTGTGAGATGGGACCTGGGAATGTCAACTCTGAAAAGTCCCTCAAGGATGCTGAGAAACACAGAGATCAGAAAACAGACACAACTCGCTGCAGCAGCCTGTGTCATAGTCTTGTGGCACAGACCCTTGTCAGAGTGGCAAGATGCAGAGGCCGCAGAGAGCCAATCACATGGGACCAACTTGTGTACTGGCATCAATGTGCTGCCAGAACCTTCCATGCTCTCCTACTTACTTGGTTAGGACAATGGAGACTGCATCGTTGAGAATGCTTTCTCCAAACACCAGCATGTTGAGCACAGGGTCCACGTGCAGTGCATTGAAAATTGCGATAGTGGCTACTGGGTCAACCGCAGATATCAGGGAGCCAAATGCAAAACTGCAAGGAGAGAAGCAGGCAGATTCTGTAAAGCATGGTGCTGGGTCCACATGCCAAGATGGCAGCTGAAGGCCCAAGAGGGAGGATATGCTTTGCCACTGACCCCTGCCTAGCACATGAACGGAGAGGCCTAGACGCAGTGCTCAGAGCACCTGCATCCTGGCAGCAGTGTTGCACTGTTCTGGCCAACGCTGCCCAGAAGACTGCTTACCCTAGTGCACACTGCCCAGCTTTCTCAGCCAGAAAATCCTATAAACTGCTGGCTTTGACCTCTGCTCTGCCACCAGGTCAATTGTGCTAATTGTGACCAACACCAGCTTCCACTCAGATTTGCAACATCCAAGAAGGTACCAAAAGCCAGCAGCCACTGGAGGATGCAGCCTGAGCGGCTGACTGGAGCTGGGTCCTTGGGTCTCACAGGCAGCACTTGATCATATGGTCCACTGCCACCAATACTGGCCACCTGCCTACCAGGTTTCCAGGCCCTGGAGCTCACCAGCAAGCATTCCCTTAGCACGGCGGCTCTGGCCCCAAGCCCTTCCTTCACCACTGACTGTCTAGCTCAGAGCCAGTGCCCCTGGCCTGGAGGGTGGGTGTAGGAATAAGCAGAGCCCAGGTCAACTTAGGAAGCGCACTCCTGGGCTGGAGTGCTAGCTAAGCATGCTAGAGGCCCTTAGTTTGATTCCAAGCATCACAAACCATGTGTGGGAATACATGGCAAATTCCAGGCCAGTTTGAGCTATGAGACTGTCTCAGGAAACCAAAGACAGTACAGTAGGGAAGGAAACCCAGCGAGTAGACTGTGACCACTAGGAGAAGGCGGGACTGGAGTCATCTGACTGTGTCACCCAGTAGCCCTTCATAAGTATTGCTAGTGGGAGGAAGCTTATGAAGCAGGTTATCAGTCTATAAGGTGGCGGTTCTCGAAGTAATGGATCCAAGTCTGAGGCAGCCAGGAGAGAACCAGACCCCTTAGGATATCCAGCTCCCAGACCTGTTTCCAGACTCTGCTTTCCTTAAAGTAACCACATGCATGTGAGCTGCCTATTGCCCCCTCTCTAAGGTCGCAAGGTGGATGCCATGTTTTCACCTTGACGGTGTTGGGGGGTAGGGGGGGTAGGGAAGGCAGCTCCACCCAACAGCCAAGTAGCCAAGGCCCTCAGGCCCTTCACTGCCACCAGACCTAGACACAGACTCTCCACCTCCTCTTCATCCTCATCACCCATAGTACCATCAAGGAAGATGAACAGCTCAACTGTGCTGCAGGAGGCCACCCATGGCTGTGTTCTGTAGAGGTTTTGCATGCAGTACATTAGATAGTCTCTGGTCTCATTGCCCAGCACCCACAGCCTCGAGCTGTTCTCTCACTTGCTATCCTTATGTGGCAAGGGGCTCCAGGAGTAGGCAGTGCATGAGGCTGGACTAGCTTTACCAGGTCACGGGAATCGTGAGGAAGGGGACGTGGACAGCAGCAAGGGGAGAGCTAGCCTGAGACCCCTGAGGAGAGTGTCCTGGAGGGTGCTGTGCTAAGGCCATCATGCTTGAGACACTTCACCCCTATGAGCCAACAACCCTTCTTGTTGTGAACTTCCTTCCTACTGGGTTGCAGGTGCACAGTGAGAAGCTTAGCCAAGGTACTTTGTTGCAGCTACTGCAGCCTCTTAGCTAGAACTCTGGGATCAGGGTCCACAGGCATGTCTAGAGAGGGATGAATAGAGGGAGAGCTAACACAGAAGCTGGAGATGAAGGGGGGAGGATTGCAGGTGCTCACTACATAGGATCTCGTTGTGAGTCATACTCTTCAGAATACAAAACTGAGGAGATGCCTTGTGAAGAAAAGCCCGTGCAGCATACTGGTACCTGCCAGAAAAACTCAATTGGCAGGGGTCCTTCTGACCATAAGGCCCCTGAAGCCTCAGGAGGCCTGGACCTGGCCAGCATTGGTTCTACAGTCACTGTCAGGATCAAGTCCTTGAAGGACTTCAAGCAACTGACTCAAGCTAAAAATATGTTTCTTTATTCTTTCAAAGTTAGCAATACAAACAAAACATGAAAAGGCGGACAGGGTGGGACTTGGGGAGGAGCAGGGACAAGCTGGTGAGGTTCTGCAGCCTACTCAGGACAAACCCTCACCAGCAGAAATATCTGTGACCAGGTTCATGCCATGAGGCATATCTGTGTTCTCTGAAGAGTAGAGAGATACAGGCAGCCTGGGTCTGTGGGGAAAATGGTGTTGTCAACACTCAAAAAATAGAGCAATGGGCTGGCTATGGCATACCATTAATGCCAGACAGAGGCAGGAAGACCACCTCCATAAGTTCCAGTTCAAGGACAGCCTGCTGTATAAAGTGATTTCTAGGCTAGCCAGGACTACATTGAGAGACCCTGTCTCAAAAAAGCAAAAACAAAACTAAGCAAGGCACAGTGGTATACATTGATATTCCCAGCACTTGGAAGTGGGAAGCAGGAGGATCAGAAATTCAAGGTCATCCTTAGCTACACAGCAGGTTCGAGGCCAGCCTGGGCTACATGACATACTGTATTAACAACAACAAAAATCACCTAAAAAAAAGAAACCAACTATGAGCCGGGCGTTGGTGGTGCACACCTTTAATCCCAGCACTCAGGAGGCAGAGGCAGGTGGATCTCTGTGAGTTCGAGACCAGTCTGGTTCCAGAGAGAGAGCCAGGATAGGCTCCAAAGCTACACAGAGAAACCCTGTCTCGAAAAACCAAAAAAAAAAAAAAAAAAAACCAACTGAAGCGAAATACCTTGGCCTTTAAAATCCATGCTATGTGGGGAGGGAGGGGGGAGAGAAAGAGAGGAAGAGAGAGGGAGGGGAAGAGACAGAGAAAGAGAGACTGATGAAAGCATAGAAGATGTCTGTCTGTCTGACCTTTTCCCTGAGACAGGGTTTTTCTGTGTAACAGCTCTGACTGTCTTGGAATTCTCTCTGTAGACTAGGCTGGCCTTGAACTCACAGAAATGTGCTATTCTGTCTAGCTGGAGGGTTTTCTAAAAACAGAGCAGCAGCACACACATGTAGCATCCGCCTAGCACAAGGCAATGAGGAGGAGCTGAGGAGTACTGTCCCTTGCAGATTAGCAGGGTTAGCCTGTGGCCACTGTCAGTCCCTGGCAGCTTCCCTCTGTTAAGGCTTTGCTGTCCTATACAGCAGTCCCCATCCGATGGACAGAGCCTCCAACAGAAAGGAGCACTGCACAGGGTGATGCTGGCTGGAGTTCTACCCACTCAGCCACAGGCATTGCTTTTGTCTCTCCACCCAAATGTCCAACTCCTGGCTTTAACTCCATTCCAGACAGTGAACAACAATGTGCTTCTTCACAAGTATCCCCCAAAGCAGGCCAAGCCCTACACCTTCCTTAATGTCAAGAGCACTCTGGGTATTTCTTTCCTTTACAGCACATCTAGAAAACACCAGGTCCCAGTTCTGTTGTCCTTCAGGTTCCTGTAGGAAAGAAGGCGACTTGGGCTGATTGTCTATGTATCAGACTTTTTGGGCTGCTCACACATCTTTTGGAAGGCCGAGATAGGAGGATTGCTTCAAGTTTGGGGCCAGCCTGGGTTATATACTGAGTTCCAGAGCAACCTGGGCTACAGAGTGAGACCTTGTCACAATGAATACTTTAAAAAAAAAAAACAAAACACAACAAAAGCTCCAATATTACTGCCTGGGGAGGGTGAAGGATGGCCCATTTCCACGAACAGGTTCTGAGACTATGGTCTGAGATGGTACACTGCAGCTAAAGTCTGACATTGTCAGTTCATAGGAATGATCTAGAACTGAGTACTTGGCCCTCTTCCTCAGCATCCCACGGAGCCACAAGACAGGTACTGAGAGTGGACACAGGGACACAGAGCAAGGCACAATACAGACTTCTTGGCTGCAATGGGCTAGGGTACTTTTGGAAATCTAGACCTGGTGCTTTCTGAGACAAGCTGTTCAAGTACTGCTCCGAGTGGACTAAGAGTCTAAGAGCCGCCTGAGCAGAAGGTCACTACAGTGTCTACTGGAGCAGCTTCAGATCGAGAAGATGCTCACCCAGGGTCAGGATTCTCACCTTGCTCTCTCCCATTCCACACTTATTGGGAATGCAATCTCTTTCCACAATGGCTAAGAGAAAACTGAGGTCTTGTCTGTTTGCTTTTATAGTGCTGGGGATCGAACCCAGGGCCTCGTAAATGGCAGGCCAGGGCTCTGCTACTGAGCTACACATAAGTCCCCAGCTCTGGAGACAACTCTCTAAGGAAAGGACAGAGATGTGACCGGGATTCGGGTGGGTAGTTAACTGGCCATTCATTCCCTCCAAAGATCAAATGAGATCATTCATTTCAATCAGCAATATTGTGACCAGAGGTCTTCAAAAGTCTCATTATGATTCTGATTCATTTCAGAGACAATTAATTCAGAATAGATTCTATACTGCAAACACTGGCAAGCCAGGCAGGGGGAGAGGAAAGGATCACACCCACGAAGCCACGTGCAGAAAATGTCCCAGGCCTGAACAGCAGTCGCATGAGGAAATTACAGTGTGGAAGATTTACCTGTCTGTCATGTTGAGTTTAGAGATTACATCAGCCTGTAAAATAAAACACACAAACACACAGACACACACAAAAAAATTCCCTGGAGAACAGCCAAGAAGATTAAAATGTCCATCAGTGCTTTCTTATCAACTAATAAGGACATCATCTTCAGTCCCCATTGGAAATAAGGAACCCCTAAGGGCTGCTGTGAGCATGCGTGGGCATCTAGACCGAGTGTGGGCACAATTCTCCTTCTTCCAGCCTGGCAGCTGTGGTCCTCTGCTCTAAAGGTGACTCCCCTTGACCCCAAGGAACACAGCGAAGGCGAGCATCTAGGAAAGCTGCAGGGCAGACTTGGTTTGGCTGCTGAGCAGCCATGAAGGTAACAAAATCAGCAGAAATAGGGCAGCCACATGAGCAGCGATCTGTCTCACCCTCAGCTTGGTTTGTTCTCAGCACTAGGGTGGCTAAGCTTCAGCAAATGACACAAGAACGGGTGGTGTACATGGAGATCTGAGTGCCGGCTTCCCAGCTTCATTCTGGCTGAAGTCACTGATGTGAAACCCAAAGCCCACAGCATGCACTACTGCCCCATCAAAGGGCTGACAATGGCAGGGAGCATCATGGGAACTGAGAGAACAGCTCTGGTTTAAATGCAAATCTTCATCCAAAAACAACTTTCAGCCCTCAATCACCATGAGAACACAACTGCCACTTGCACCATTTCAAGTTGCAGGACTGCACACTACTCTACTTCAAGGCATTCCAACCGAAGAGACAGGTTTGCAAGTAAAACCAAGTATCTGGGGGTGATTATGGTCCCCTCAATTCCAGATGCCCTAGTCACATGCATGAGCAGGGATGTCCTCCTAGGAGTGTACACACTACCAGGCGGCTCCTGCCCCACCCTCCAATAGAAGACCTTCAAGGTCATCAGGGGTGCTTTTCTTACCTGACCCAGAAAGTAAATTCCTCCACCTACTACAAAAGCAGAGATGGTCGTTCCAAAGACAGCAAAGAGAGTGATAGAGCCGATGTTCTGAAAGAAGTTCCCCTGGGAGGCGGGAGCAGAGGGACATGAGGCAACTGGTGAGCCACGGAAGCTCAATACATATGTGTGGGAACAATCAACCATGTCCATGTTTAGTCTCAGTCAAAAACCCACACTATCCCGGTTTTCTTCCTAATTAAAAGGTACATTTTGAAAAGGCTCCTAAACTCCAAGATCAGAGCAATGGTCAGGATTGGGTCCCAAAGACACCCAGGACAAATGGCTCAGTGCCTATTACCACGCCAAAGCTGAAGCTGGCTCTTCTCAGTGCTTCCCACCCAGTCCCTACTCTAATCCTTTCCAGTCCCTGAGCGTCCCTTCCCCAGCTTCTCTTCCTATATAACTCAACCATCTTCCTTCCTTCCTTCCTCCCTTCCTTCCTCCCTTCTTTCCTTCCTTCTTTTCCTTCCTTCCTTCCTTCCTCCCTGCCCCCCCTCATTTTTTTGAGACTGGGTTTCTCTGTAGCATTGGAGGTTGTCCTGGAACTCTACCTGTAGACTAAGTTGGCCTTGAACTCACAGAGATCTTCCTGTCTGCCTCCTGAGTGCTGGGATTAAAGGCACACACCACCACCGCCTGGCAAGCTCAGTCATTTCGGTCAAAGGCTCTCTCTTGGCTCTGCTCTTAGTCTGTTTGCCCCTCTCTCTTCTCTTCCTCTCTTATTCTCCCTTTTCTCTCCTCTTATGACCCAGTCTATTCTGCTAGCCATGTTCAGTCTGGGCCTTTCTAGAAGCCTCTGGCTGTTCTCTCCCTCATATCTACACTAAAAACCTTCTCCTTAGTCATAGTGCTCCTAGGTCAGTCAGAAAGTCCTTTATGCTGTGTTAGCATCATCAAATAGATAGGCAGAGAGCTCAGCTGGGGGAGCGGTGTAAATTGCTGAGTGCTTGCCTAGCAATGCATGAAGCCTTGGGTTTAACCCCAGCACCGCACACACCAGGTCCTGGGACACACGCCTATAATCCTAGCACCTGGGAGGCGTAAGCAGGAGGATCAGAAGTTCTCAGTCACATAGACAGTTCCAGGCCCGCCTGGGCTACATGAGACCCTATCTCAAAAGAACCCAAACCATAAGAGAGAGATAATATTTGAGTTCCAGCAGCATGGAAAATATCCATATTTCCACATGATGAAGGAAATGAAGCTACTAGACCCTCACAGACTCCACTCAGGAGGCACCATCAAGGGTTTCAATGATCAAGGTTTCTGTTTCTTGTTTCTAGGGACAAGGTTTACTTCAAGAGTATCATCAGGGGTGGGGGTGGGGGAGAAATGGCTTAACAGTTAAGAGGATGTACTGTGGCTAGGTGTGGTGGTACACACTTTTAATCCTAGTACCCAGGCATAGCAGAGACACAGTGGGTCTAGGCAACCAGGGCCACTCAATGAGGTCTAGCTTGCAGCCCCTTGTCCATGGCCCCCAATCTTCAAAGTGCCCACCCAGAAGCTCAGAACACCTGTGCAGGGTCAGCAAGTCAATCTCAGTTCTTCCCCACTGCTGTTAAAGGTACCAAACTCTAAGGAGCATGCCCCATAGACAGGAGTAGCCATCCCCACCTAAGCACTGCTCCCGGTGAATTTTACCTTGTGTAGTGAATATCCCGACTCAAAGATGATAGGTGGGAGCAAGAGAAGGAAAAACATGTTGGGACGAAACATTTCTTCTTCCTGTGAAGTCAAGAAGGGCGGACACTCAGAGGAGTGGACTGCACAACCGTGAGACCTATGTGCAATGCTGAGGAATCCTTTGCTCAGGGCCCGGCTTGGCAGAAATGCACAATGCCGAAGCAGCCTTCTGGTGACAAACCAAGCAGTGACAATAAATCACTGACTGCCTCTGATATACGGCACAGGGCCAGCGAACGGCTGGAGGTGGGAGCAGGCACTAACCCTGAGTCTGACTTCCAGAACCACAGTGAAGGACAGTCGCCTGCTTTGAGGGTGAGCAGCTAGTTCCTGGGAAAGGAGCAGCTATTTGCAGTGGAGTTGCAGCGTCCCCCTCCTCCGATCCAGTCCCCTGGGAAGTTCAGACTGTGACCTGACTTGGAAATAGGTCTTGGAAGGTCAGACTAAGATGGAAGTGAGGAAAGGATAGAAGCAGATGGCCGAGGCACAGACCCACAGACAGTGTATTTGCTTTGCTTTGGGTTTTCTTGGTGCTGGGGCTGACAGTGAAGTCCTTATGCTCACTGAGCTATGAGAGCCTCCTGCAAGTCAGAGGACAGATCAGAAGACCCCACGCACCTTTTGGCCATGTCCCAAGACTGGTCTGAGGTGACTGTGTTTGGGACTTGAGCAGTATGGGTCCAACACCACTACCTCACAGACAAGGAAACTTGTGTGGTCTTTTCCCTTCAAAATTTTGCTTTCTTGTCAGGTGTGGTGGTGCACACCTTTGATCTCAGCACTTGGGAGGCAGAGGCAGAGGCAGAGGCAGGAGGATCTCTGTGAGTTCAAGGCCAGCCTGGTAAGCAGCTAGATCCAAGATAGCCAGGACTACATAGAGACCCTGTCACAAAAAACATCACAACAACAACAACCAAAAAAAACCCCAAAAAACAAATTTTCTTTTTTTTTTTGTTTTTGTTTTTGTTTTTCGAGACAGGGTTTCTCTGTGGCTTTGGAGGCTGTCCTGGAACTAGCTCTTGTAGACCAGGCTGGTCTCAAACTCACAGAGATCCACCTGCCTCTGCCTCTTGAGTGCTGGGATTAAAGGTGTGCACCACCAACGCCCGGCTAAATTTTATTTTCTTGTTTTTAAAGATTTGTCCTGGGATTAAAAAGACATCTCAGGGGTTAAAAGTACTGGTTACATTTGAGGACCCAGGTTTGAGTCTCAGCACCCATGCATATCGAGGCTAACAACCCTCTGTTATTCCAGTTCCAGGGGATTTGATGCTCTCTTCTGGTTTCTATGTGTACCAGGCACATATGTCATGCATGGACATACATGCAGACAAAACATAAATAAATCTCAAAAAGTAGGTGTGCATGCGTGCCTGTGTGCCTGTGTTTTTCGAGACAGGGTTTCTCTGTGTGTGTACATGTGTAGACCAGAAGAAGGTCAGGTTCCTGGAGAGTAACTGGATGTTTGTGAACTACCTGTCCAACATGGGCACTGGGATCCCATCCTCACAACAGAGAACTTAACCACAGCCATCACTCTGCCCCCACCCTACACTTGGGTCTTTTCAAAGCATAAGTATTCACAAGCACCTCAGTCGATAGCCTAAGCTACACACTAGGCTCTGCCCCTCCAGCAGCCTCTGACTCCATTTGCATCTCATCTACTTATCAAAACAGATGTAGGCTGCAGGGGTACAGCTCAGGGGGAAAGACATGCTTGGCATGCTCAAGGCCCTGAGTTCCATCTCAGCACCAATTTAAATGAATGTCCACCCAACAGCATCCATGGCATTCCCCTGTCTTACTTGGGAGGCTGAGGCAGGAGGATTGACAATTCCAGGCAAGCCTGGGTAGAGAGAGACCCTGTTTCAAAAAACAAACCAAGCCAAGTATGTTGGCAACTCTAATCTCAGCATTCAGGAAATGGAGGGATCTATCCCTGGCAATTAAACATAAAGATGCATACTTGGAATCCCAGCACCAGGTAGGCAGACCCATCATGGTTCCTGGATTCCACGGCCTGCTGGCCTGGCCTACATAATGAGTTCTAGGCCAGTGAGAAACCTTTTTCAAAAAATAAGCTCCATGAAGTTAATTTAAAAAAAAAAAAAAAAAATGGTGCCAAGTACCGCAAGAGTAACAGAACTGTGCTGTTTTCTGGGATTTTGTTTCTTACTTTTTTGTGGTTGTTGTTGTTGTTTTTTTTTTTTTGTTGTTGTGTGTGTTTTTTTTTGTAAATGGAGTGTGCTGGATGTCTCTACAATTTTGTTCAAATGACTGCAGAACCTGGAAAAGCTGTTGCTGCTATTGATGCATAACATGTTGCCATTACTGCTCGAGCTCGCTCGCTCTATCTATCTATCTATCTATCTATCTATCTATCTATCTATGCTAAAAAAAAAAAACCTCCAAAAGAACATGCAAAACCCAAGACTGTTGACCTCTGGTCTCCATACATATGCTCATACACACGCACTCGCATGCGCGTGCGGACACACACACACACACACACACACACACACACACACACACACACACACACACGCACGAGCAAGCAAAAGCTGTGATTATGTCAAACCTACCTTCCAATTAGCCAGCTTTTTAAACTCTATAATTTTTATAACTGCTCCCATGAGAATACCTGGAAGGAAAAAGCAAAGCTCAGTAGAAACATAGCACAAGGTCACTTGGCTGAACTCGGCAGTACTCTAGACTGGGTGCTGTCCGCTAAAGCAGGCTGCCCTAGAGTTCTACAGGTCTGTTTCTCAGAATAAAAACAGGAATTACCATGAAGTAGTGTAAATCACTATGCGTTTCCCACTTTTATCTCAGGTGCACACCATGGCAAAATCTAAGCTATGTGGAGAAGAAAAACCTACTTGTCACTGTTCTGCCTGGTGTGGAGGACACACAGCTGGTCACCCTCCCTCTACCACCCAGTTTCAATGAAAAGCAGCAGAGAGTTACAGGCCAGGATTATCCTACACTATTTACTCTCATTCCTGCTGTTTAAAAAGGTGGCTGGGGATGTGGTGGCATAGGTGGCAAAGGCATTCACCATCAAACATGATGAAATGGACTCTAACCACTGAGCCATCTCTCCAGCCCCAATGAAATGAATTCTAACCCAGGACTCACACGCTACAAAGAGAAGCGACTCCCAAAAGTTGTCCTCGGACCTCTACATTTGTACACACACAACTGTTGTGTGTGGTTTATAATGGAAGGCAGGTTGAGGTGAACAGAGAGAGGCCAGTTCAGAGAGAGACTAGCCTCAAACTGTATAGCTAAGGAGAACCTTGAATTCCTGATCTATCTCTGATTTTTTTTTTCCGTTATTTTCTTCAATGTTATTCAACTTTGTGTCCTTTTATTTTTTTAAAAAACACACTGGCCATAGTGACGTACACCTTTTATCCTAGCACTTGGGAGGTAGAGGCAGATGGATCTCTCTGAGTTTGAGGCCAGCCTGGCCCATATAATGAGTTCTAGGACAGCCAAGGCTACAATAGTGAAAGCCTGTCTAAAAAACAAGCAAAACAAAACCACCAAGTCCATACATGCTGTCCATAAGTACTCTTGGATATGTGGCCTTCTACTGGTGCCACACCCCTTTAAAAAGTCTGCCTTGCCCTCTCCCAGCAGCTGTAGCTGTCTGGAAGGAACAGAGATCAGTTGAGCAGCCTGGAAATGCCAGCTCTACCTGCTAAGCTGCCGGCAGGCTAAGTGCACCCCAGGTTTCCTCTTTGTGAGCTGTCACCCATGCTGGGGCGGGCTTTGGTGATGTAGCTGTCTTTGAGTCATTTCTGCTCCTGTGAGTGACGCCCCCAAACACAGAGATACCCAGAGTGCTGTAACCAAGGATCAAGGAACCCCCTTCAAAGCATACAATTGGAACTGCTTCTATAGCGAGTGAAGAGACAGCTAGGCTCTTATTCAAAGAACAGTGACGTGGAAAAGGAAATGCTTATAAGTGTGGACGGAAGTCCTCATAACCTCAACACAAAGGGCCAAACAATATGTGCTAAGTGACTGCAGGCCACACATACCCAAGGGGACAGGCCTGCTTCCTTTCAGCCTCATGTGGCGTTGTCCTTGAAGTAGCCTCCTCAGGACTATGACACAATGAATGCTCCAGCTGGAGAAGGGTGTTCTTTCCATTTCAAGCCATTTAAAAACGAATCAATTCATTGTATGGGGGTGGGGCATCCATACTATAGTGTGTGGAGCTCACAGGACAACTTGGAGAAGTCAGTTTTTTCCTTTCACCCCATGTGGAAATCTGGGGAACAAACTCAGGCTGAAGGCTTGGCTGCAAGCACTTTTACCCACTGAACCATCTGGCCAGCCCCAGGTTACAGTGGGCCGTCAGTTCAAGAAAACAACAATATACCAAGACACCGGCCTTCCCATCTGTCCCCTTGGCCATACTCAGTATTCTGGCTTTTGTTATTTGAGCAAGATGACTACAGTGCTCCAGGAATCACATCCTCAACTGCAGCAGCAAAGGAAGGGGAGGCTGACTTCTCTTGATTCAACCAGGAAGGAAAATCTCTTTTTTTCCAACCCCTCCTCATACTTCCCTTTGGCCTAATTGTCTTACCCCTCTCAACCAGTCACAGCAAAGAAATATGTAATATCATGATAGCCAAGTCCAAAACTATCCAAGCACCCCTTCCTCCTTGGGCCCTACAAAAAGATGCCCATTCAAAATGAGAATTCTGCTGGGTGGTGGAGTACATCTTCAATCCCAGCACTCGGGAGGGAGAGACAGGCGGATCTCTGAGTTCGAGGCCAGCCTGTTCTACAGAGGGAGTTACAAGACAGCCAGGGATACACAGAGAAACCCTGTTACAAAAAACCAAAGGTGGGTGGGAATATATAGCTCAATGGGAGAGCAGCCACCTGCCTAGCACCTGTGGGACCCTGGGTTCATTCCCCAGCAACAAAACCCAAGTACAAGCTAAGATTCTATTTCCAAGAAACAAGTGGCAAAGGGCTCTTGCCAGGCAGCCATGTCTGCAGTGCTGGTGTCAGGGAGCCACCACTATTTAACCCTGCCTATATGTAGATGCATGCACATGCCCCCAAGCAGGTGAGTCATAGCCAGTTCTGAACCACCCGACATGGGTGCTCAGAACTCAACCGTGCCCTCTGGAAAAGCAGCAAGCACTCTGAACCACCAAGCCACCTTTCCTGCCTCTAATTTTAATTATTTTTAAGGATTCATTTTTTTAAAAAAAATTGTATGTATGGGTGTTTTTGCCTTCATGTATGTCTGTGCACTCTAAGCATGTCTGTTGCCTAAGGGCATCAGATTCCCTAGAACTAGAGTGACAGATGATTGTGAGGTACCACGCGGTGCTGGGAACTGAATCTAGCCCCTTTGTGAAAGCAGCCAATGCTCTCAACCACTGAACCAATTTTTACTCTATTTTACTTATTTAATTTTTCTAAACAGGGTAGCCCTATGTACCCTGACTGTCTTGGAACTTGACACATAGATCAGGCTGGCCTCAAACATACTGACCTGCCTGCTTCTGCCTCTGGTGTGTACCCAGCCAAATATTTACTCTTTTATTATGCAAGTGGGTGTTTTGTCCTCACGTACGACTGTGCACCATCTGTATGCAGTACCCAAAGAGGCCACAAGAGGACATCAGATCTCCTAGAACTGGAGTAACAGACAGTTGTGAGCTGTCATGTGGGTAACTGGGACTTGAACCTGGATGCTCTGAAGAGAAACCCATGCTCTTAACTGCTCTTAATAACTATTAAGAATAGTTATTCTTAATAAATGGTAAAACTACCCAGAAAACTGTCAATTCCCTGAAGTAGCTTTTTAATCCTTTTCTGAAATGCCCCAGAAAGGGAGGGAGGGAGGCAGGCTCTGGGGCTACAGGAGTCATTTGCCATCTGTAAAGCTAGGGCCCTTCTGGCTGTGACAGTGATCGCGAGCTAAATACCAACCACCAACCTCAGTGGAGCTGGACACTGCCATGGGGAGGAGCAGCAGGTCACAGAAAGAGCCACTGGTGATAGCTGGGCTTCTCTGTCACCTTTAGGGGGTTAGCACCCTTCTCAGCCCTCCCCCCACCCCAGTAAAATGGACTCTAAGGCCCTGTGGCAAGCTTCAGAAAGGATGGCAGGAATTGGGAAAGTCACACATCTCTTACAGACGTGGGGCTGTGGTGCCCTAAGAGAAACAGCACTACTGTCTGTGGTGCAGTGTTCTGGGACCGACTGCCAATATCACTTACCTAGAGAAACGACAGCCACACTCTCAGGCAGGAAGTGCAGTCGGTACCGGATCAGCAGGTGCACCAGGATGATGCAGATGGCTGTGAGAAGCATAAGCCCTGTTTAAACCACCAGGTAAGAAGCAGCAAGCTCAGGGCAGTGGCTATCTCTAACAGACACTTGGCAAGCAAACACTGAACACTGCCATAGCTTTAGTGTTTTCTCCCCTCCCCCTTTATTTTTTTTAAGATTTATTTATTTATTTATCATGTATACAGTGCGTGCCAGAAGAGGGCACCAGATCACATTACAGATGGTTGTGAGCCACCATGCGGTTGTTGGGAATTGAACTCAGAACCTCTGGAAGAACCTCTGGAAGAACAGTCAGTGCTCTTAACCTCTGAGCCATCTCTCCAGCCTTCTTTTGTTTTTTTCAAGACAGGGTTTCTCTGTGTAGCCCTGGCTGTCCTGGAACTCACTTTGTAGACCAGGCTGGCCTTGAACTGAGAGATCCATCTACCTCTGCCTCCTGAGTGCTGGGACTGAAGGTGTGCACCACCATTGCCCAGCTTTAACAACAATAACAAAAGACTATTTATAGACCCCATGAGATGGCTCAGCAGATAAAGGCACTTTTTGATAACCCTGACAACCAGAGTTCAATTCTCATGACCAGCATGTGGAAGGGCAGATTCTACTTCTGAGGGCTGTCTCAGACATCTGGGTCTCTCTCTCTCTCTTACACACACACACACACACACACACACACACACAGACACAAACACAGACACACACAAAAAGACTGCATATGCATGTATGTGCACCATGTGAATGCAGTACCCAATGGAGGCCAGAAGAGGGCACTGGATCCCCTAGAACTGAAGTTATAGGCCATGAGACCCATTGTGTGGGTGCTGGGAATTTGAACTCGGGTCCTTTGAAACAGCAAAAAAAAATGTTCGTAACCACCAAGCCATCCCAAGCCCCACAAATGGTTTGTTTTTGAGACAGGGTCTTACTATGTAGTCCTCATTTGTATGTAACCCTGTTATCCTCACTAACACACCTTTGATACCAGCACTCAGGAGGCAGGTGTGTGCCACACCGCCTGGCTTTGTTGTTTTTTTAAGCCTTGGTCTCAGGTTGCCTATGCTGCTATACTTGCTATGAATAGCAAGGGGTATGGGAGGGTGACCTTGAATTTCTGATGTTTTTATGCTAGGGGATGAACCCAGGGTTTTGTGTGTTAGGCAAGATCTTACCAACTAATTGACATTCCCTACCTAAAAAACACAACAGATTATATAGTGAGACCCAGCCTTAAAATAAACACACACACACACAAACACGGTGTGGTGATGCACACCTTTAATCCCAGCACTCCAGGAGGCAGAGGCTGGTGGATATCTGAGTTCAAAGCCAGCCTGTTTCAACACAGTGAACAGCCAGGACTACACAGTGAAACACCTTATCTAGGGGGCAGTAGAAAAGTCAAGAGAGATGCCTGGGGGGTGGGGGGGATACTCAATGAGAAACCAGCTCTGGAAAGTCATCTTCTAACTTCCACATATGTGTGGGGACAAATATACTAGTAAAAATAATAAATATTTCTGGCCCCTAAACCCCACTCTTATGTATTTGCATCATTCTAAGTGTCACTTCGTGGTCCAGATGCCAGTGCTGGAGGTTCTCCGGCCCCGAGGCCACAGCCTAGCTCACTAACCACAGAACAGTACCAACAGGGCCTTGAGGTATGTGACTAAGGCTAGTCTGGTTCTTACCTGGATTCCTAGCAATTCCCTGCTGCATATTCTCAAGAGTTGGGATTACAGGAAGCTGCCACCAGGCCCAGCTCTAGAAATCATTCTTAAAGGAAAATGTTCAAACAGGGCAAGAGAGTTGGCTCAGGGGATGAAGCGCTTGCTACATGAGCATGAGCTGAGCTCAGAGCACCAGCACTCATGCAACAAGCTGAGCTGGTGCCTGGTGGGTATCTCCGCAGCCCCAGCACTGGGGAAGTGAAAACAGAAGGGTCCCTGGAGTGCCCACCGGCTGGCTGTGTCAGTGAGCTTCAGGTTTCCCAAGAGACCTGTCTAAAAAGTGAGGAGAGTAGTTGAGGGTCCCACAATGGACCCTCCACAGGCATGTGTGTATGTACAGACATGTAGACACACCTATACCCCGAGCACACAAAATGGGGGGGGGGGCTGAATCTGCGGAGGTGCTAACAGACCACCTTCAGAGTTATGCTGAAAACTTAGATTTCTTCAATTCCATCAAAAAAGTACCAGATGGCCAAAGGAAACAGCTGTCGATTCAGAAGTCCCGTCCTCTTTTCCTTCTGCACTGTAAACTATCAATCTGTGATATTGTTTCAATGTAAATATTTAACCTAGTTAGCTAATGAAAAAAAGATAAAAAGGAAAGGAAAGGACATGACTGCTCCTAGGTATGGTGGATAAAAGTTTACTATAGATAAAAGGGAGACATAGCCACAGTCAGACACACATCTGGGAGAGCCCAGAGTGGTCAGACCAGACTGAGCTGGGCTACGTGAGGAAAGGGGGTGGGGTGGGGGAGAGGGCAACTAGGTGCAGCAGCCAGGAGGCTAAAGGTACAAAAAAGGTTGGGTAGCAAAAATGTCTGGATTATATAGGGAAGAGCCTCTGTGGAAAAGGCAGCCCAGCTCCTGGGCTGCAGGGTCCAGGGCAGAGGATGGGGGTGGGTATGCCTGCCATACCCTGTAACAGGTAGGGACTGAGGGATGCTAGGAGAGCCTTGATATGTTAATTATGCACCTCAGCCTTTTGTCCTATTCTTCCTGGTTTGACACTTGACAATTAGAAGATCCTGCATTCAACACCAAGCTTAAGAGATGACCAACACTCTCTTGCTGAGCCAGAGTCAAGTAAGCACAGGAGCCATGAGCCCATGAGATGAGAGAAGGGAGGCCTCTGATGCTTGTAACAAGCTGGGTTTGTTTTAATTTGAATTATGAATGTCTATATGTATGCAAACATGCATGGGGGTGCACATGGAAGCCAGAAAAAGGGTGGCGGTTTGAAGGAAAATGGCCCCCAAAGGGAGTGACACTATTAGGAGGTAAAGTTTCTCTCCAAACTAAGTTTTTAAAAAGTTAATTTAAGGGCTGGTAAGATGGATCTGTGGATAAAGATACTTGTGGTGTGACAATGTTTGAGCCCTAGAACACATACGGTGAAGGAGAGAACTGACTCCTCCAAGTTGTCTTCTAATCTCTATACAGCATATGTAGCATCCCTCTGCATACAAAAAATTACATAAATAATTTTAAAAATTATGTATGGTGGCACACACCTTTAATCCCAGCACTCTGGGAGGCAGAGACAGGCAGATCTCTGAGTTTGAGGGACAGCCTGATCTACATAATAAGCTCTAGGCCAGCCATGTCATGCCTACATAATGAGACTCTGACTCTAAAACAAAACAAAAGCCAACGATGATAGAAGACATCATCACTAGTAACAAACAACATACAGACTGAAGCTCTAAAGGAACCCCAGGCCTTTATTCCCCTGCTAGGCATTTAAGCAAGAGAAACAGAAGCATCACATAGCCACCTGACATACCGTCCACAGTAACACTGTTCACAACAGCCAAGAGGGAGTGCCCACAATCTAGAGTAAAGTCAGCACTGGATACATGGGATACTCTACAGCCACAAGCAGTGAGTTCCTCTGTAACACAGGTGAATTTTCAAAGTCTTCCTTATTACGCTTACTTATTTAGTGGGAGGAGGGAGAAGTTGGTTCTCTCATCCTATCATATGGGCTTTCAAGGACTGAATTCAGGTTGTCAGGCTTGGTGGCAAGTGCCTTTACCACCTCCACAGCTCCAAAATGTCCTGAAGACACTATGCCAAGGGACTCAGCCACATGTAGTTCAGTTCTGTTTACAGAGGCTAACTCTCTTGGTAACTCCCAGAGACAGCATGACCAACGTGCTGACTTTGGGAGAGGGAGCCATAGCTAGAGGGAGCCATATCAAGGCTAGCCATAGCTGGGACTGAGGCTTCTTGGGGTGATGACAGTTTTCTAGAAGCAGATGGTAGGGATTGTTGTGGAATATTTGTGTACACTGTAAAGATGTTTCTTTGTCTAAGGCACCTTCTGATTAGTTTAATGAAAAGCTGGATGGTCAACAGTTAGGCAGGAAGAGGTTAGGCAGGACTTCTGGGGTAAAGAGAGGATTCTAGGAAGAAAGGTTGAGTCGCCAGCCTGACAGAGAATGCAGAATGGGTAGTACATAGATGAGGTAACTGAGCCACATGGCAAAACACAGATTAATATAAATAGGTTAATCTAAGATATAAGAACTAGTTAGGAATAAGCCTAAGCTAAGGTGGAGAATTCATAATTATTAAGAAGTCTCTGTGTTGTTATTTGGGGGCAAGCTGTGGGTATAGAGAAAGACTCGTTACAAGGGAGAGCAACACTGTGGGTGTGATAAACACCAAGGAATGGGGTACATTAGCGGCTAATGTTAGATCCAAAGGAAACTGATTCCCCAAACCCCAAAAGGCAGTCCCTTAAGCTCAACCTGGACTATAGGAACATTTCTGGAAGCTAGATAAAAACCAGCATTCCTCAGGAACTTGTGAAACTGGTTCCCATCTACCAAAAGGAATCATTTCCCTCACCTCTGGAGAGAAGGGGCATATGGTTAGCTGTGGTGTCTATTAGCACACCAAAGTCCACGTTGGGCCCCAGGCTCCCTCGGTGTCACTAGTGCCCGATACAAATGTCCAAGGCCAGGCTACCAGCTGGCATCCTTGCCCTTCTCACATCCTATTACACCCCAAACTCTCTCCAGCCCACCAGTTACGAGTTCTCCTTATGACCCTGCTATTCTCACTGAGCTTGGCCTGTTTCTCTTGCTATCTCTTCTCTATTCTCTTTCCCTTCCAATGCTCTTCTCTCTCACATAGCTCTGGCCATGTTCATGCTTCTCTTTCTCTCTGCTGGGGACTCTTCAGAAGCCTCTGGCTGTTCTCTCATATCTACAATAAAACACTCCTTCTTAACCATACCAAGGAACGGCCATGTCAGTTTATACAGGGACTTTGGCTGGGTAAACAGAAGGATTATTACTGGATAAACAAGCCTTTTTGGCAGGTTTCTGTTTAGCAGAAAACCAGATCTCCCTAAGCTGGGTTCCTGGCTGCCATGGAACACCCTTAATCCTCCAAGAACCTTCCTTAACCTTGCCCCACAGGTCAACTGCCTCTAGCAAGGGCACCTAGTCCTCATCAATCCTAACACCCTGTATTAACTCAAATCCCCACCAGCTGACTGTCATATAGTATCTGTTTGCTTTCCTACAGTTTAATTTGTTCTTTTCTCTGCCCCCCACTCAATGGCTTTATCAGTCGATCCCCAATAAACCTTTCTACCCAGGGAGCAGTCTAGTTTAGTAGTTTCTCTGAATCATCAGTTATATTTGGTGTTGAAACCCAGGACTGCCCCAGGGAGTGTTAGATTATATCATGGCTAACCACTTGTCTCTCCTTGCCTCACACTAGGAGCTGCCTGCTGTCTCTGCCTTCTCATTGGCTTGCTGGAGCCTCCCCCACAGAAGTTTTGCAGGTAATCAGGTAGCTTCTCTATGCCCTCCTGGGGCTCTACGATACTGGAATCACTGGCCCCCCCCCCCCCCCCCGCTTCCAAAGGATGCTCTTCTGCTCTCTCTCTTCCTCAGCTTGCTCCGGCCTCTAACCACAAGCCCTCCTGTATTTCTCACCTGCCTCCTCCTCTATTCCCTTTCCCTCCTGGGACTCAGAGATTCCATTAGAGCCTCACTATCTTACTGCAAGAGGCTTGGCCTTAGTACAAACTCAATGGCCAAAAACTGGCACATTCAATTTCCAGGTTCTCCGAACTTCAGCCACACACAAGCCAATGATCCCCAAACCTCTTACCTCCGAGTCTTCTCTAATCTCTGAAGTCTCTACCTCTGATCACTGAATTCATATTCATTTTATAGGGATTCAAATATCTTTGGATATGGCCAACATTAAAAATTGCCATATGCCATTCTACTTTATTAAAAAGGCTGGCTCTGGAGCTCGAATTTGGCCCTCCTTCTCCTGACCCAAGCATGTTTGTTTAAGTTTTCTCCAAAGTCTCTGTCCTGGGTCAGGCTGGTCACCTGACTCTGTGACAGGGAGAAGGAGAACAAAACAGAATGGCCCAGGAAAACAAACTATGTGCTTATAAAAGCTAAAATGTAGACTATTCCCAGTAGGGATTGCTGCTGCCTGTCTCACAGTCCTCTTCTGTGAGACAGTCCTCTTCTGTTTCGTTTACCAGCTCTAAAAACAACAAAGTATAATCACCATGTTTCACTCTCTGAATACATCCCCAATTATCTCTAAAAAACTTTGCTAAAGTATAAACTTGTGTATCCTCTGTATTCCAGGATTTGTAATTCATTCGGTGTAATTTAAAAGGTCTATAAAATCTGAACTTTGATTCAACTCTTATTTAGGAAAAGAGAGGTTTTTGAAAAGAAAAGAAAAGGATGTGTCGCTGATGGGCTCACCATGGAGTAAACAGCAACCATGGCCTGCTGCCATCTTGACTGATGATCTCATCAGGATGGAAGCGGCTATGTGGTCAGCAGATGCCATCACTACGGTTAAAGAGAGGGCATGCCACGTGACTTTACTACCATATTGGTCAAGGTGACCACATGGTATAAACTAACTAAAGCAACACCAATAAAGTAACTAGTCCCATTGAGCCCTCTGGTTATCACTGCATCTCCCTTTTTAGACTAAGAAGGCAACACTAGACCTCCAAGATGGTTTGTTTTATTTTATTTTCCCTACATTAATGAGGCAACAGCAGGCCTTCAAGATATTTTGGATTAGGGCAGATTTTTGTAGGATGATTTTTGCCATGAGTGAAAAATAACAGATGAAGATAAAATCATGAACAAAGTCTATGGAAAACAGGACATAACAACACATATTTGATCATTAAGACCTTTCAATTCCTAAAGTTATAATGGTCTACTCAGGTGTGCTTTTTCTGTGGCCTGATCTTGGGGAAAGCTCAGGGATTAGTGGGATTCTGTTGTCAGACTCTGGGGCAAGGTCTGGGATTGGTGGGATTTCATGCTCAGCCACATCTATTTGGAGCTAACCAGCCTCTCCGCCTTTCTGCCCAGAGCACTTGGTGTGGACTCAATAACTAGAACGTTTGTGCCAGACAGGGTTAAATGGTGAGTGATTCACTGCTTCCTGTGGAGTCAAAACTCAGCGAGGGTGAAATATAAGGTGAAGCCTTCCTTCTCAGCCAAGGGGACAAGCTAGGAGAACACCAGGTCACGGATTCTAATGACTTCACTCGGAAACATAAGCCGAGGCTGTATGGCCAGAAAGGGTTCCCAAGGTCTAGAAAACAGTGGGACACTAGCCACCAGCAGGTTACAGGAGGGTCAGTGAGTCCATCAGTCACTTATTAATAGTTTCCTCTTATCAGGTTGGCTTTGTCTGGAAACCTCATCAGGAATGGCTGGCAGCAACACAGGGACACAGGAAAAACCATGCTTTTAGAGTCAGGTGTAGCGCTACATGCCAGTGAGGTGGAGGTAGGAGGATCAGGAGTTCAAAATCACCCTAGGAGCCCAGCCTGGTGGCAGATACTTAATCCTAGCACCTGGAAAGGCAGAGGCAGCTATCTCTGAGTTCCAGACCAGGCAAAGCTACACAGTGAGACCCAGTCTCAAACAAACAGACAGCCAGTGACCCAAGAGAACCTGAGCCTCTGAGCACAGTGCAGCCCTTTCTGCCTCCAGGGTGATTAGCAGCTGCAAGCTACAGTAGAAAGCACATTGTGCAGGGCAGTTCTGTGGTCACAGCCAAGTCAAGTTTAAGTGCTCCACACCCCGAAAGTGATCTTCAACACCTCGGTAACAAAGGGGCTACAAAAGCCCTTTCCGGGCATGTCTCATAGCCTCTAACAGTGACCACTGGTCAACACCCTCCAAGAAAACTTCACATACTAAAGATTTCTTAATCTGATAAAAGATTTGCTGGTTCTGGGCTGTTAACAAAAGACAGGGTGTGGTGGTGCCTGCCTACCCACCTGCAATCCAACACTGGGAAGGAAAAGGCCAATCTGGGCCTCACAAAAACAAAAGACCAATCAGTCAGTACTATGGTGTTCAATTCAATTCTTTGACTATTTACTATAGTCTGAATATAAATGTGAAAAAAAAATGTATTTGTCTTCAAAACCTAGTCCTAACAGACATCAGAGAAATACCCAAAACAGGGCATGGTAGCATACCTATGATCCCAACAATGGGAAGGCAGAAGCAGGAAAATCAGAAGTTCAAGGTCAGGTACCCTCAGCTACGAAATTGGGGGCCAGACTGAACTACTGAGACCCTGTCTCAAGAAAGAAAATACTCAATGCCCAATTCTGCCTTCTGTTCTCCTGGAAATGTCTAACCCAAAAGACGACTCTGGTATCACCAAAGAAGAGCAGAGCAGAGGGTAAGGCCTGAGGTGGTGATACATGCCCACAATCGCAGCACTTGGGAGGAAGGCTGATTGCTACATAGTAAGTTCAAGACTGGCCTGAGCATCCTGGGTCTCAGTCTCCAAAAACATGGAAGAAACAACAAAGAATGGCAGAGTAGTAAGTGTGGCAGGCAGCTCTACTGTCTGGCAAAGCACAGACGTGGGTCACACTCCCTCAGTGGTTCTCAACCTTTCCAATGCTGCGATGCTTTAACACACTTCTTTATGTTGTGCTGACCCACAACCATAAAACTATTTTTGTTGCTACTTCATAACTGTAATTTTGCTGCTATAATCACAATGTGTTTTCTGATAGTCTGAGGCACTCTCTGTGAAAGGGCTGCTTGACCCCAAAGGGGCAGCCACCCACAAGTTGAGAACCACTATCTAAAGTATTTATGTGGCTTCAGATGCATTTTAAAACTGGGTGTAGAGGCAGGTGCTTGTGGGAAGCTTGAAGACATCTTAGGTGTTATCTTCAGAAATGCTGCCCACCTTCTTTGAAACAGGGTCTCCACTCTGCCTGGAGCTCACTGATTCAAATAGACAGACATGCCAATGACCAGGAGTCTTCCTGTCTCTGCCACCCCAGCAATGGGATTACAAGTGCAAGCCACCACACCTGTCCAGATCAAAAGCTCTTTCTTAGCCAGACACTGTAGGGAGACACCCTAGACCCGCCCAATAGTCCCAGGACAGGTGCCAGGTGGACCCGGGACTCGCCTATAGGGGCATGGTGAAGGAAAGCCGGGGTGACGTAAGGGAAGGTTCTTAAGGGCTGCACGTGGAGACCCTGGCCCCTTCTCTCTGGCTGCGCTAGCTTGGTTCCTGTGACCTCGCTCTGGCCTGCGTTTTGCCCTGGTGCTTTCTTGAACAAAGAAATCTTACCATCATAGACTATAGTTCATCTCTGGGCGTACGCGGTAATCCTAAAACATGGCAGTGCACACCTTTAATCTCAGCACACAAGAGGCAGAGGTGGGTGGATCTCTGTGAGTTTGAGGCCAGCCTAGTCTACAACGAAAGTTCTAGGACAGCCAGGGCTATATATAGAGAGTTCCTGTCTGGAAAAAAAAAAGCCCCCCCGCCCCCAAAGCTAAGAAACTGCACTAACAGCTTTTCAGAACTGCTAGGCATCTGATTTCAGGAAGCAGGTAACACTTGGGCTTATTCACCTAGGACGAGAAGGCTGAAGAAAATGGTCATGCCACTTGACTGCTCCTCCTGCTGGGCCTGCTCCCCTGTCTGCACTGGAAGGATGGGCTTGGCAGGTGTCGGGAGCACCAACTTCGTGGTGACACCCAGAGTAGTGTGAAGAGTGAAGTTGAAGCTCTCATGGGTTGTGTTGGAGAACCTATTGGAAACACACAAGTGGTAGTCAGATAAAGAGGGTCAAGGCATCAAAACACACACTTTGACTGAATGAGACCTAGCAAAGCCCTGAGGGTACAAAGAGCAAGCAGGCCTTGAAGAGGGAGGGAAGCCCAGCCTACAGGTACCAGGTGCCAGTGACCTCTAACATCTTTGACCATGGCCATCCAGAGGTCAGAAAGAAAGGGGGTCAGGCTTGTGGAGAAAGAAATATAAAAGGCTGAGTCTAGGGCCAGGGATGTAGCTCAGCTGGTAGTGCCCAAATGGAGGCCCTGGGTTAGATCCCCAGTACTGCATTAGTGTTTGTGTGTTTGTGTGTGTGTGTGTGTGTGTGTGTGTGTGTCTGGTGTGTGTGTGTGTCTGAGAGAGAGAGAGAGAGAGAGAGAGAGAGAGAGAGAGAGAGAGAGAGAGAGAGGTCTATAATTCCAGCACTCAGGGGGAAGAGGAGAGGGATTAAGAATTTGAGGGCATTTTCAGCTACAAGACCAGCTTGGGCCACATGAAACCCTGTCTAACAAAACAAAAATGCTCAGTCTAAGGCTACCAAAAGTTTATTAGGCGGGAGGACACGTTAAAAGCCTGCAGGGGATAGTGAGTTCAATGCCAGCCTAGGAAACTTAGTGAGACACTGTCTCAAAATAAGTAAAAGAGGAGCTATAACACCAACAGGGGAGGACCACAAGTTTGCTACACAGTGAAACCCTGCCTCCAATAAATGAATTACAACAGCTCAGCAGTAGAGCCCTTTCCAAGCACACACCAGACAGTAGGCCCCTTCCTCCTCACCAAAAACAACTAAGAGGAAATGCTGTCTGTCCTCTGAACTTAGTGAGGGTAGCAGTGTATGGTAACCCATGCCTGTAATCCCTGCACTTGGGAGACAAAGGCAGGAAAATTAGGAATTTAAGGTCAAGGGCCCCCTAGGCTACATATTGATACACAGTGAGTTCAAGACCAGTCCTGTGGGCTACATGAACCGGTCTCAAAAAGGAAAATAAATAAATAAATAAATAAACTACTGGTGGGACTAGAGTCTCCCCAAATCCCAGATTCTATTCTACTCACTTGGTGCCTTTACCCCCTAGTTTACATTCGACTTGGATTTTGCATGCAGTGTATGTGTTACTGGAGATTGAACCCAGGACCTTGTGTGTGGCAGGCAGATCTCAGCCTTTCTGGGATTACTTCCATAAACTGAAAAGTCACCTGCATTTGCCCAGCTGTGCTAAGAATGCCCTACCCTACCCTGCCAAACACTTCTTGAGTTTCAAAAGGCTCAGGTTGCCGGCTCTGGAACACCCCAAGCCACCCAAGGCTTTGGACCTTGCTCTCAGTGTTAGGTTTGTGAATTATTGCTGTAGTGACATAGTTGTGACTGTAACAGGTGGCAGCCACTGAGCCCTGCCCACTCCAGGACCTAGTAACACAGCATCTCTTGAGACTCCAAACACACGTAAAACCATTTGAGTCTACGTTTTCTTTTTTTAGCCTTGAACTGCCGAGGCCTGCTTTAGTGTGTGGGACAGCACAGACACACAGTGAGTTAACGACTTCGTACCAGACTGGCCAAGAGACACCTGAAACGGAATGATCCCAGTACAAGCTCAGTGTCAATTAAGGGTTCCTCGTTAATTTTCAGGAACTCATTCCAAAGTCAGAATTTGTAACACACCACAACAGACGGGTGCCCTGCCAAGTATGAAGACGGACTAAGAGTGGCACGTGCCCAGAGAGCTGGAGCTCTAGGCTGTCATCCAGCTGTCGCTGCCTGACTCCCAAGTGCTCGCCCTCTCCCTTTTCTCCGGGAAGGGCTAAGGACTGAGCTGGGGGCTCACTGAGCTGACTTGTCTGTCTGTCTCTGTCTCTCTCTCTCTCTCGTGGATTCAGGGCTGACTCCTGGGCCCTCACACGATTCAATTTCCTCCCAAGCACTTGGCAGGGTGGGAAGACTCCAGCCTACACGAGGTGCCCTGCGGGAGCCGAGCGGCGCGGACACCCAGCATTCAGTGACGGAAACCTTCTGGGGACAGACACCAACACGCAAGGCTGCTGGTGGCGGCTGCCGCGGCAATGGGAGGACTTCCTGGAGGAGGAGGAGGAGCGCCTGAGGCACCTCAGACAACCGGAAACGGGGGTGAGGGAACCACGTTCGCGCTTCCGCCCGGCTATGCTACGCAAGGCCGAGGTATGACCTCGGGGACGCCGCGGGGCCCAAGTCCCCTTCCCGCCCCCCTGCGGACCCTGGCCGGCTGGGCCAGAGCCACTCCACCCGGGCGCCCGAGGCCCGCTGTCGCCCACCGGCCCGGCCCTGCCGCCTCC